ATCTAGTATTTTCACAAGCTTTTGGCGCTTTTTTCGACATTTTGCATATTTGAGTGTCAAAGAAAACAGGTTCTTTTACTGCAGTTTTAATGCCACAACAGACATACAGAAGTTGCAATGCCACGGTGTGTGAAGGTGGGGGGTTATGGCCACAATCGGTGGCAAATACATCAATGTATTTGGGTCGCAAATGGCAATTCTCTCAGGGAGAAAATTGATTTCTAATTAAAATTAAAAAAAAGCATTTTGCATGTGCAAATTTTCTCACACGTGCCCGTGCCGCACCCTAAAGGCAAGGTCTCCCCGTCTCTCTCTCTCTCTCTCTCTCTCTTCATGTGTCACCTTTGCATGCCTCATGCCTCATGCCCCGTCGTATGTCGTATCTCTCGTTAGCCATTTGTGGGTCAAGAGTGACATTTGTGTTAACGTCTTTGGCTTTGCCTTTTTGGCCTTTTTTCTGCTATTTGTGGTTGGAGGTGGAGGTGGAACCCTCCCCCACATCCTTCTCCTCTGGTGCCCTGATTATCGAGAAAACAGGTGGGGGTGCGACACACACACACACACATACACTGCTGTAATTTTTTGCTTCTTTTGGATTATTAAACGCTTGTCCCACATATCCCGCATCGCCCAATCGAATGGGGGAATCGCACACGCCCCCATCCATATTCCACTTTCAAGCGCCAATTAGTGGCATGTAGGCGCTAAAATTAATTTGTTTGCCGCCAAATGTGGCACAGCAGCCAGCAAAATGTATACAAAATAGCGGAGATCTACAGATCTACACAAACGGAACAGAAATGGAGGATTTTCGGAGGGGGGAAATAGATCGGAAATGTGGCTTAAACTGCCACTTGGGTGTGAAACACCCATTCATCGTTCACCGTTTAAAAGATCGTTGAAATACGTTTAAAAAACTAATTTACAAAGTCTTCAAAGATCGTGATAAAAGAGTTTTAACGAAGAGAGGAAATACCCTCCAGCAAATTGCACTTAATTAAATGGTTAACCATTGATTAGTGGTAGGAGAAATGAAGAGAAACAGAACGAACATAGGGGTGGGGACGGGGAGGGGGAAGGGAGAGAGCAGGATTGTGCAAAGCTCGCGTGAAATTAAATGACAGATAAACATCAACAACAAAGTGCGATTTCTCTTCTTCCCGGCGCCCGCATTGTTGTTGTTGCTGCTGCTGAGAGACCAAACCGAAGCTCACGTAAAATAAAACGAAACGGTGTCGTCCCGTTTGCCGACGCGAACGATCAAGTCTGCCGAGAGGGACTGCTATGCATGCGCTTGCATTGCTGCGAGAGAGCCACCGATGGAATTGGAGAGAGCGATAGCAAGAGGGAGAGATCAATGGGAATGAATTGCAAGTGTGTGCAATGCGTGTGCTTAGGTAAAGCGGAGCCAGTCCTCCCGTTTCGTGGGTGGTTTACAAAAAGAAAAAAAAACAAGAACGAAGTGGGACTGCGCAGCGCTCGCGGCGTATGGAAAAACAGAATCACTCGCTCTCTCTCTCTATCTTTGACAAATGGATGATGGGCACATATGCACACAATGAATATCCTTCTATTCCTTCCAAAGCGCTCTCCTTCTCCTTGTACTTTCTATATCCACAATGAATATTCTTCTATTCTTCAAACTTTTTTACTCTTCCTAAGAGATCAAAGCTGCCTCTCTCTCTCTCTCTCTCTTTTCATAGAGTAGCTGTAGTGTATCCTACTGTTCGTCTTTCCCCTTTACCCCTGTGTGTGTGTGTGTGTTTGTGTTATTTGTATTATTTTCAAACAAATGAACAAATTCTTTTGTTGCGAGCAAAATATGCGTTTTGGTTGACGGAGGTGGGGGTGACATAAAAATACAGGTGACAGGTTGCTGCCGCAGCCGCAGGAACGTACGTGACATGCATGCAAATGCATTATGCACATGCCCCTACATGTCGCACCTTGCGCGCTTCAAAGCTTCTTGCGATAACAAAAACTGTTGAAACTGAATGAAAGAATCACTTAAGGCGTTACAATTTTCGCTTGATTTCCTCCCCTCCCCACCCACACAGTAGTGAAAGAAAATCAGGTTTAATGTGGGAGATACCCTTGTTTTACATTTTCATTTAGAAATGTTTTTTGCCATGGAAAATGGTGTGAAAAAATTAGAAATGGATTTCATGGAATTATTGGAAGATCTAATTTTTCTTGATATTTTTTTTCCTTTTTTTACCACATTTAGTACTTTCTTTCCCTTGGTTTTTGCCTTAAATTTAGCTGCATTTTTCCATAATATTTGAATACTATTTCATATCATGCCCGAAATATAATTTGTAATAGACTACAAGATTCAACGATTTGCAACGCTGTGGCAGTGAAACACTGTGCCTGTGGTTGGGGGCCCTTCTGCTTCTGTTGCGGTGGTGCTGCCTGTTAGTGCCGTTGTTGACACGCTCTAGAGTGTCGTCTCTGAACCCAAGAGCATCCCATCCATCCATACGTATCATCTGCTTCATCTTCATCATCGTGGCGTTGCATCATTGCGTTGCAAACTGCGAGTAGGGGGAGGAGTAAGAGGAGGCAAAGTGCATTCTAATGAAAGTTCAATGAACTGTGAACCACACAATTCTCTCATTCTGTTCGCCCATGTGGATGCTCGGTCCTTCACTGATGCAGCTGCCCCCTCCTCCTCCCCTGGCGCTGCTGCTGCTGCTGCCTCCACATATGTTGCACGCACATTGCAAATTAACACAAAGCTGCGTTGTGCTCCCCCTCCGACGACTCTTTCGCTTGCGTTTCAGCAAAAAATTCATTTCTTATACGTATGCATGTAGATCTTTCAATGCCACAATAGGTGTGGAAAAATATCTTTCAAAATTAATTTAACTAATTAATTTGTTAAAAAAAAACCTCTAAAATATGAAAATATTTGCGGCAGAAAGAAGGTTGTTGATCTAATCGTTACATTTCCCATTCGTTACTCGCTACTCGAACTAGTTGGGTAATGACACTCGCTACGATATACTCGATACATTTCACACTCGTTACTTTCCACATACCACTCGTTATATGCAACTTGTACCCCACTCATTACATAACATGGCTCAAATCTTTACTCGTTACTTTTCGCTATTAGCAACTCTTTAAGTACGACCTCTAAAATGTGCACTCGTTACATACCATTTTTTGTTCATGTTCCCCACTTGTTATGTACACTCTCCAAGCTCCTACATGCCACTTCATGCCACACTCGTTACATGTGCTACACTCGTTATGTATGTCACTCACGTCACGTGATGGCTGGCCCTAATGAATATCCTTGAACTCGGAAAGAGTGAAAACACTTTCGGGGGCGACCTTTTGGTGTAAACAATAAAAATGGAATAAATGAAATATTTATGCACTTAAGAGCCACACAACAAAAACAGCAACAACAACAATAATAATATAATAGCCATAAAACCAAAGCCACACACGAGAGAAATGCAACCGAGAAGAGGCAATGCCACATGCCACTGACAACAAGAGGCAAGAGGCAGCAGCAGCAGTGGCAGAAGGCGGGAGGTGGCTAGCGCATTGTTTCGTGTGAAAAAGAAGGCCAAAGAGTAGGCAGAGGGCCAATGCACCAGCCACTGGTGGAAAGATACTCCTCTCTTCGTAGATTTCAGGGAACCATAGGAAAGCAAAAGAGAAAGAGTGTGAGATCCACAAAAGGTGCCAAAAATAAAGAAGTTCCCCTAAGCGAAAGGACACACTATTCCAATAAGAGAATATACACTGTCTGGTCTGTAGGTCCCAATGCAATGGGATCTCCAATATTTGTCGTACACCAAAATGTGTGACTCTGTCAGACAGACAGACAGAGAGAGAGAGAGAGAGAGAGAGAGAGAGAGAGAGAGAGAGAGAGAGAGAGAGAGAGAGAGAGAGAGAGAGAGAGAGAGAGAGGAAGAGACAACGCGCGACTCATTCCCCCTTTCAAAAAATATTCTATCAATTGCAAAATAAAAAAAATAAACAAAGGGCCCGCATAATTCGAAGTCGGGACGACAAAAAGCTTCCCAAGGACAGGGGACAGAGAGCCGCCCTTGGAGCAGAGAACGAGAGGAGGGGCAGAGGCAGTCAGACAGACAGAAGAAGAAGGGGCACACAACATTCCTGCAAAGGCAACAGAGTTCCACAGAAAGTGTTATTTCTTTCCCATGGGATTGTAACAGATTTAACAGAAAACACCTTAAATATTATTAATATTTCAAGCCCAAAGATTTACCCAAAAAATAAATAAACATTTTTCAATTAGGTTACTGCAAATTTCCTTTGATTAAAGACATTGGAAACGCGGGGATTCACATAGAAACAATAAATTTACCATAATTTAACCTAACTAATATTTAAACACACATTCCCACATCTATAGAGGTTAGTTTTTAATGGTTTTTGTTAGGTCTTAGAAACAAATCGTACAGATTTCATCCAAAAATTCGAATCACAGTTCGGTTCAAAGAATTTCCTTAGAATTCCCTGACAGAATTCCGATTCTTGTAGTTTCTATTATTTATACACCAAAGAACTCAAGTTTTCTCTGTACAGAACTATAGATTAGCCTTGGAATTCTTTTGAGGAATTCAATTTCCATAGATTTCCATAATTTTCGAAAAATTTTCTTTACATTCCCTTTGTTTTATATAAATGTAATACAAAACGCCTGTTCATCCTTAGAATACCATAGATTTCCCTTAAGAAACTCCGATTTCTTTAGAACTTTTTACCAGTTCTTGTTTTTTCATAAGTTTTCCACTCGATTTCCTTCATTTTAAATGCAATTTGCATGGAAAACATCTACAATATTCTGTGCCCAAAAATGTTCTTCTGTTTAAGAGCTTCTTTTTTGTAAATATTATTAAAAAAAAAAAAACAGGAACCGGTGTGTGTCGTGGCCTCCCCTCTGGCATATAAAAATGCAGAAAAAACGGAAGCTGTGGGGGGAAAATATTCCCTCATGAAGTGGAAAAACTTACCCGTGCAACAACAGAAAAAAAGAGCAACAAATGTGCTACAGAAAATGCTGCAATGAAAGTTTCGGTGTTTGGGAATTTCCTTTTCCTTTTTTGGGGTTTTCCTTCCGTCCTTTTTAGCTGTTTCCCGATGCTGCTGAAATAGAAGGGGGTGGGGGTACGGAAAGAAAGAAAGAAAAAAAGATGAGCAAAAGATAAACTGGAATGCAGTGGCGGTAGAGATGTAGTTTTTGGTGTTGTTGCAGGTGGCTTTTCTCTGCATTTTCTTTGGTTTTCGGTTATCTAACGGTTAGCCCTTTTGGGCCGGGCACCGAAAAGGTTGCCGGTTGACATTTTCTTTTTTTTTTTTTTTGCAAGAGGAAGAAAGACGCAAAGAGAGACAGAGAGAGGGAATGCAAGGAAGCGGAAGCATAACGGTGTTGCCACTCAGCTGCTGGCTGCCTGCTTGCCCTGCCAAATAACGTTATTGATTTTTTTTTTTTTTGTTTTTGCTGCTGTTTTTTGCGGCTTCTGTTTTTGTTTTCGCTTTTAGTTTCCGTCTTTTTGCTGGTGTGTGCGTGTGTGTGTGTATTTTCTACTGTTTTTGGTGGTTCTTTCTGTGTCTCACTCTTCCTTCTATTCTGCTTCTTCTCCGTCTCTTCCTGCTGCTGCTTCTTCTCCTTCTCTTCCTGCTATTGCTGCTTCTTCTTCCTTCTCGTCTCTCCTCTTCTGTCTCTCTTCCTCCTTTCGGTGTCTCTGCTTCTTCTCCCCCTCTTCCTGCTGTAAGCCCAAAAAAAAGGCGTGTAGCAAGAGCCAACGCAACGTCTAAGCGCATCCCATAGACAACACACACACACAGACACACAAGCACACAACGCAGACGACATGCGGCAACACGCACACATAAGAGCGACAGAGACAGCGAGAGTGAGAACAAGAAGAACCAAAAAAGACAAAAACTAAAAAAACAAAACCAAAAGCCAAAAGCAAAAAACGAGTTAAGACGCAGACAACCCAAAGACAATGCGTCCAGCAGCACACAGCAGATAAAAGCCGCAGCCAACGTTTTCCTATCGGACTGCATTTTCATGCCCCAACATTTTTTGGATGTCTTTTTTTTTTAGTTTAATTACTTTTTCTTTAGAGCTGCTGTTGTTTCTTATTTTCCTTCCTCAAAGGCGCGCGCGCAATTTATTTTGTTTTTAAGAAACACAAAAAAACCGTTTTTACACACACTTTTCTTGGCAAACTGCAAAGAGGGGAAAACACCGAAAAAAAAGTGTTAATAGTCGAGAGTTTCGAATTAGTCGCGTGCCGACGAATAGATTTTCAAAAAAAAAGGGCTTTTCTTTTATCCACTCTTGGTGCTTTCAGCTATACTCGAGATTTGTTTGTTCTTAACGCAAATGCGTCCGACGATTAGCGACAGCGAGATTTCGCAAACAAAACAAACGCTCACGTTTTAAATGAATACGAAGCGACCAGTGTGACCGCGGATTTATCGTTAAAACATACCGTCCGACTCACAGAAATACACCAAAATATACCGTCTCATTTAAAAAATATACCGTAAATATACTGACGAATTGAAGATCTATTTTACATATTCCTCAATGTTGATATTCCGTTGAATATTACTAGCTAGATAGAACATTTAGCCATGCCCAAATAATTTTATGCAATTAATGAACCTATTTTCTAATTGACTGGCTTATTTTAAACACTTGCTTTTATTGCATTTTACGTGAAAAGAGGGTTTTCTGTTACGTTTTATTTGTTTAACCTTTTTCGCTAAAACCTTTTCTAGACAAAATCCCGTAAAAGCAAGTATTTGAAATAAGCCAGTCAAGTAGAAAATTGATTCATTAATCGGATAAAATTATGTGGGCAGGGCAGAAAGCTCTATCTAGGTAGTAGTTTTCGACGGAATATCAAAAACGGGGAATATGTATAATATAACTTGAATTCGTCAGTATATTTCGGTATATTTCTGACGTCGGACGGTATATTTTATCGATAACTCGCATTTGTTGTTGCAAAAGCTCCGCGTCCGCTCCGCTCAGCCCTGTAATATTTGCTCTTAATTTTTGATTGTTTTTTGTGATGTGGAAATGAAACGAATTTGCGACAGCAATTGACACACAACTAAAGTGGAAACGCAGAAGCAGCAGCTGCTCTGCCTCCGTCATGCCACAGCGCTGCCAGTGCCAGTGAGAGAGTGAGAGAGAGAGCCCCCAAAAGTGAAAACGTTCTGGAAAATCAGGCGAATCGAAGAGCAGAAAAGACAGCAGTGCAATGTCAACAGAAAGCAATACGCCCGTGGATCCGCGTGTCCAGGTATGTGGGTGGGTGGGTGGTTGTTTGTGTGGGTGTTAGGACTGTGCTAGAAGCACTGATGAGACGACATCTCCCCTCCTTCCGAAACTCTTCCCACAGATCGAACTGGAGAAATTGAATTCTGCAACGGACAACATCAATCGATTCGAAGTGGAGCTCGATGTGAGTGTTTTTCTTTTTGTTTGGCATATTGATTTTTCACTCATTCACTCCCTTCTTATTGTGTGTGCCCCAAAAGGAGTCCAAGTGCGAGTTCAAGCGTCTGCTGGCGGAGAGCGTGGTGCGCATCAAAGCGGCCGCCCACAAGCTGGGAAATTCGATTGATGCCGCCAAACCGTACTACGAGTCGCGCATCTATGCCGCACAGCTGGCGAAGGAGACGCAACAGTCTGCGGCCAATCACGAGAAGGCCAAATCCATTCATGCCACCGCCAAGGAGATGGTATACTTGGCCGAGCAGGGACTCGGCGAGAAGTCAACATTGGATACGGCCTGCCAGGAGATGCTCAGCCATGCTGCCAGTAAAGTGAATCAATCGCAGCTGGAGGTCACCGACACACGGAATGCACTGAAAATGTGCCAGCTGAAGCTGGAGGTGGCCAACAATCGGGTGAACAAGCTGCAGGGACAGCTCAAGCAGGCGCTACGTGCATCCAGGTACACTTCTGGCTCTATAGATGGTGCAGGATCTATACATATCTATGGGATAGAACTATACGAATTTTGGGAGCTTTTGTTTCTTGGTTTATATGATTATATTTTATATAGCTTTTTATAGTGAAAACTTTAGTTTCTTTAGTTTTATAATACTTGAATTATGATACACTTAATATGTAGTTATCGAGTCATCGAAAATAATCGATTTCGAATTTTGCTTATGTCTGTGGTCTGTTTTTAATGATTATAAAGCCATATACCGATTGATATGTAGAAATGGAAGTGTAATACGTATTGAGACTGATCTATCGAACTCTTGGTAGTCATCGATAATTATCGATTAAGAGCTGTTGTCTGTTTTTAATGGATATGGATTCTTTTAACGATTAACACATAAATATAGATGTAATTTTGATAGAAAGAGATCTATGGATCATATTGAAAGATCATATTGAGTTTGGTGGATTTTCTTGGTTATCCTTTTGGCTACATTCTTATTTTTTCTTGCTCTTTTCTTTTTATTTCTTTTTCCTTTCTTCTTCTGTTTTTGGATTTCTCCTATGCTTTTCCTATACGTTTTTCCGTTTCCTTTTAGATTGCAGCTCAAGCGCAATTTACTTTTGTTGAGATACTTTAGCATTATGCACGCCCTGCACTGTACCTTGTGTTCGTGAGTATGCCTCACCCGCCCACAAGCACTAATGCGGGGCATGCCCCCTCCCCAAACGCTACTCGTTCTTGTTCCTCCCGCATCCCGCAGGCCCTACTACGAGACGCGTGCGAACTACAACGGACTGCTGAAGGCCCAGAAGCTGCGGGTCAACGAGCTGGAGGCAAAGGTCAGCGCCGCCAAGCTCACCTACAACGAGGCCTTGAAGAATCTCGAACAGATCTCCGAGGACATCCACCGGCAGCGACAGCAGCGCAACAATCTCCTCAACTACGAGGCCATGCTACGGCAGGTGGACGCTGTGGATGCTCTGTCTGGCGGTGGAATGCAGAGTGCCAGGGGCAGAGACAGAGACAGGGACGATGACCATGATGCTGAGGTGGATCTGGAGGAGGAGGAGGACTATCTGCGTATGCCCGATCGTCTGGGCAGTGCGGGCAGTCCGCCGCGTCAGTGTTTGAGCGATCCGCACGATTGTCCCCATTTGCTGACGGACTTTGAGGCGGTGCTGACGTTCCCCCAGAAGCTGGCTGGCGGTATGCACAAATCGGCCAGCACCAGCGCAACGGATGGCGACACCAATCTGTTCTCGGTGCAGGCCCAGGGACTCCATGCTCCCTACGAGGTGAAGCAGCGATCAGAGTCCGGCAGCGGTTCCCTGGGTGGATCGGCCTCGGCATCGGCCTCAGCATCGGTCTCGGGGGCACCGGGCGACAACGACATTGAGCAGTGGACGGAGATCCGGTTGTCCCACTCGGACAGCACCAGTTCCAGCTACTCGAATCAATCGCTGCTGGATCAGCACGGCCTGGAGGGTGCCGGTGGCTGCGGCAGTGGTGGCGGCGGCGGCGGCGGCCTGGGATATGGCCTGAACCGTGGCGGCGGCTACGATCCGGATGTTCTGTCCCAGCACTCGGGATCGTCCTCGGATGAGCCCAAGCGGAAGGTGACCTGCACCACGATATTCCAGGACGACGGCAGCCACTCCGCCAGCGGCGGTGGTCAGCAGATGAGCCGCAAGCAGAGCCTCAGCCAGTGGCTGTCCCGCTCGAACAGCTTCAAGAGCAGCGGCCGGAGGCAGAGCTTGGATCTGTTGATCGATGCGGGGGACAAGGTGAAGGATGCGTTTAGCTACGGTTTTCAGAAGGTGGGCCGCAGTCTGGAGAGGCGCAACAGCGAATCGGAGATGGCCGCCACCGAGGGCGGCGGGGCCGAGGCAGAGGCGCTGCTGGGTACAACGACGACGGTGACGGCAATGTCATCCTCGGGCAGTGCGGGAGGAGGCGGAGGCAGCACTAGTGGCGGCGTCGTCAGCAGCGGCGGCGGACCTGGTGACTTTTTCCTCTTCAGCAGGTCAGTAGATGGTGTAGGGACGTCGGGCGGCAGTGGCAGTGCGAGCGGCAGTGGCGGGAGTGGCGGTGGCGGTGGCGGTGTCGGTGGCGGACGAGGCCTGCTAAACTCCCTGCAGAGCCGCCTGACGAAGCTCATTTGAACAGTAATTCTCAAATAATCAGAATATATCCGATTTACGATCCATCGAATCCATCGATGATCCATGAAATAAGCCATCGATGATTTTTATGCACCCATCTTATCCACCGAAAAACAACAGTTAAAAAAAAACAACCAACCAACAACAAAAAGTACAGCAATTAGAAACAACAAAATTAATTAATGAAACGACAAATTGGCTGCTTTGATTTGATCTCTCTCTCTCTCTCTCACGCTCTCTGCTTTTTGCTACCATTTGAAAAAAAAAAACAAAAAATATAAAAACACATTCTCCCAAGAACAAAATTAACCGCAACTACAACAATAAAGTACAACCTACAACAACAGCACGAACGCACACACGCTTAAAAAATAGAATAACCAAAAAACTTCCTCCCAACAACAATTGCAACAGCAGCAACAACAGCAAAAGTAATAATGTTCTGTATGTACTGCTCAAAAACTTAAAAGAGAGAAAAATTATTTGTATATGTTGTGTTTTTGCCCACCCCTCCCCTTACCCGTTATTTTTTCAGTTTCAACTCTCACCCGCATCCCATTGTACCCCTCCACCCCTCCGACCAAACGCACGTTTGTAATAGCTGTATGGCATTAGACTTTGATAAAAAAAAAGCTGCGAAGAGAGAGATATCATGACAGACAAAACGTAAAATTAGTGATCGTAGATCTTTGCTCCCAGCTCAACTGGAAAGCCAACTGGACGCATACATATGTATATCCATCTCTCTCGCTCTCACTGCATGCTTTTCGCCGGCAAAGTCCAATGCCAAACGGTACTCATAGGAGCAAAAGCTCCGTTGGCTCTCACACACTCACACAATATCTCGCGCTCTCATTGTCTGATCCTTAGTTTGTTTGCTGTAAATGTAATCGCTGTCACCACTATGCCTGCTGTCTTTTGAGCTAAGCGAGCCGCACCATACAATCAGACCGCTGTTTAATGTCTGCTACTCGTTTAGGCTATCTACACCTCTCTTTCTATCTGTCTGTCTCTGATGCTGCTTTAACACCCGCTCTTCATTTATGTGGAAAATCGCTCTCACCCACATTGCTCTTCTCCACCCCCCACTTTTATGCTACAAAAAAAAAAGAAAACCGTTTGCTATCCACTACACTCTACACTCTATCGTTCTCGCTCTCTCTCTCGCCTCAGCTCAGACTCTATTCTTCCTTGGTTGTTGTGTATTTGTTTTTCACGTAATCCGTTTGCCGTACAATACAATGATAACTTAATAAACCTAACTTTACAGATCGTCAGAGCCTAAAGAGTTACTATCCGATGAGCAGGTTGAGAATTTACTATTAAATCATTCGGTGGACGAGCACGGTGCTATAATAGTGGAAGAACTTAAGTCGCCAACAACTACAACAACAACAAGCATGCATCACACACACCAACAACAACAACAGCAGAAACAACATCATCAAGCGCTAAATGTGGTAGGAGCTTTGTTGTTCTAAGAAACGAAATGTTAGTGAGTCTCGCCGACAACGAGATACCTTTACTAGAGCACACAACAAACATACATACACACGCAAACAAGCACACACACACGAACACATATTAAATTATGGCAAAATTTTTACTCTATGAGTATTTTGGTGGGCTGGGCATCGACCCGCAAGAAACGAAAAGAAAACAATTAGTCAAAATGTAGTACATATCATCAATCCCAAAATCCAAACACATTTACATTACACGGACACACAAACTATGTTCTAATCCTAACAAAACAAAATGTGCAATAATTTTTGTGTGTTATTTAGAGGCATACGAAAAATAAGATGGTTACATTTTATGCTGTTTACAATAAGCAAATAACTAAAACGCTAGTCAAAAAACGAAATCAGTTACAAATGTTTTTAGTGTGTATTTAAACATTCAGCAGAAGCATAAACACAGCAAAAAAAAAAAAACCAAATGAAAACAGTAATACTTACAAATAATAATTGTACAAATAATGTTATTTGTGGCGTATGCAGAAAGCGGACTGGTAGCGACTTTCCTTTATCGAAAGATTTTAATTGTGAAATTGAAATTCTACATATAGTATGTATATTCTTGTATCTGTTTCTATATCCACTATTCCATTCATTTTCTGCCCACGCCACTGAATGTTACATACATAAATACAACATTTATTGATACCTGCATTACAATTATATATGAAGAGTATGTATTCTAAAAATCGATGTGCGTTTCATTCAAATGGGAGACGGTTATTTGAATTACCTGTTAAAAAATAACATTGATCGATACCTGCATACAAATTACATATACATACGTATGATAAATCAATGTATTTTTATTTCCTGGGCAGATTAACATGGTATTTACAATTTCATTTTTCTAAATAACTTTCAAACATAACTGTATAGTATAGCTTGACTACCGCTTCCAGTGCCACAGCATATCGATGCATCGCGCCTGACCATCGATATACCACCTGTCGTCCTCCACGGCCTCTGGGGTCAGCTTCAGGATGACAACTTTGGGTATTTTATATACTGTTTGATATAATTCGACGTCGAAATTGTGTTGAAGGTATTTATAAATTGCATCAATCTTTAAAATTAGCATTAGCAGTCGATAGTATCGATGACTGAACTTTTTTCTTCAAACGAGTCTTCTTCACCCTCTTGTCCAATGCTCCAATTTAGAACCCGTGTAGAAATGCCATTTAGAAATTGTTTTCGTAATCAGCATCGAGCTGCTGATCTTTGGTCGCTAAAATCTCCATTTTTTAAAAATGTCTCCAAAAAGTGGATTGCGAAGGTATTTCACACTGGCGCTTCCATGGGGCTTATATGAAAAAACGGCCAACAATTTTTCAAACGTACATATTTCCCCTTCAGGTGCCGCTTTTGGTAATTACATACAAATGTAGTTAATGTGTAGCCAATGTGTAGTTAACGTGTAGTTGTCATGTAAGAAAATAAATTTAGTGGAAATTGTTGTTGACCGTTTTTGTCTTAAACCTTATTTTATAAGCAATGCAATAAAGATTAAAACTTAGATTTAACCAGTCTTGTAGAAAATCAATTTAGTAATAGAACACAATGATGAGTTCAGAGCTGAAGGTCTTAGCTAGCTAGTGATATTCAATCGAATATCAAAAACGAGGAATATGATTGAACTTAAATACAAATAATTTGTCAGCATATTTATCGTTGATCGATAACTTCACTGCTGGTCAGCTGGCAACGCTCTTCTTGTTTTGGTCGTCAGTTCTAGAAAATTTGCATTTATTTTCGAACTGGGAAACAATAAGACGTTGTTTACGGACACACACTCAGTGAAGACGGAGAGAGCAGTGCGGACACTTGTGCTACTTAATCGGAAACCACACATTCACTGAAAACCACATCGCAATGGAGCACAAGAAGAATGTCGAGAACAAGCCCATCCGCAAGGAGATTATTAATCCGGGAAACGCTTACATTGAGCTTACGCCTGGAACACGGGTATGAATTAAATACAATTTGCAAGGAAAAACAAAAAAAAAATCAAACTGCGGGGGCAGCTGTTGCTGCCTGACCCGCCTAGTAACAAGTGAAATTAGGCCAAGGCCCTGGAAAGTGAATGCACTAACACTATCCCCCTCCCATCACACCCCATCCCTTCCTTTGCTCCTGTTTACAGGTGAAATTCCACTTCCAGACGCGCACAGCCCATGATGCACGGATTGTGGATGACAGCAGGAAGATGGACAAGCCGATGGAACTGGTCCTAGGCAAGAAATTCAAACTGGAGGTCTGGGAAGTGATTGTACAGCAGATGTCCCTCAACGAGGTGGCCAAATTTACGGTCCACAAGTCGGTATGTATACACGCAACGAAAGCGAGAGAGAGAATAGGTCAATAACGCGATCTCACTGACCCAATTTCCATAATTTCGCTCCGGTCGCAGCTATGTCCCCAGTATCCTTTCATATCAAAGACATTGAGGGACATTGGAAAGAAGCCCGAGGAACGCCGTCGCTGCTGTGGCATGACACTGCAAAACGAGGGCATTGGCTATCCCGATTTGGATGCCTTGTTGCAGCATCCTGTGGACCTGGAGTTCATCATAGAACTGATCTCGATTGAGCTGCCCGAACAGTACGAAAAGGAGCGCTGGCAAATGTCCGACGACGAGAAAATGCGGGCCACCAACACACTGAGAGAGCGGGGCAATGGTTTCTACAAATCAAATCGGTATACCGATGCAGAGACCTGCTATCGCGAGGCCGTCGGCATTGTCGAGCAGCTCATGCTCAAGGAGAAGCCACACGATGGTGAGTGGAAGGAGCTGGCGGCCGTCAAGACACCATTGCTGCTCAACTATGCCCAGTGTCGTCTCATTGCTGGTGACTTTTATGCCGTCATCGAGCACTGCAACGAGGTGCTGAATCTGGATCCACGCAATGTGAAGGCGCTGTTCAGGCGGGCCAAGGCACATGCTGGTGCCTGGAATCCGATGCAGGCACGTCGAGATTTCATTGATGCACTGGCCCTGGATAGCAGCCTCAAGTCGACGGTGGCCAAGGAGCTGAAATCGATTGAAGAACAGCAGCAGGCACGCAACGTTCAGGATCGGATTCACATGCAGAAGCTCTTCTAGAATATAAGTTGTGCGAACCTCCTGCTAATGCTCCTGGTCTATTGGAGCAACTATGAGACCTGTTGCTAACAGTTAGCCGAACCCTCAATTTTCACCATCCTAGGACGCAGCCGATTTGTACCTTTATTCTCGCTGGCCAACCTGTTGCTCAGCTGCTGGGTCCTCTACAAGTCGATGCGGACGATGAGGCAGAGACGTATACGGGCGATATGGTGAGACAGAGAGAGAGAGTGTTCATTGCATTTCGGAAAAGTTTAGGTTTCTCCGCACAAAGCCATTCATTCATTCACTCTGGACTTTAAATTAAGTAAAAAGATCGCTGAAGCCTAAAGCCTAAGGCCTCCTCCTCTACAAAAAGTAATTAGCAAAGAGTTGGACTATGTTTATGATTATTATATGTGTCTGTGTATATTACAAATAGTTTATAAGTTGTTGCTCTTCGTAGCGTTTACCAAAATGAAAATGAAAAAAAAAAAACAAAAACCCTAACAAATGGTTTTGCCTATCACGTATCGTATCCCCAAATGTTCTACATTTGTTGTCCAATGTCCTCATATATATATTCGATATGTACATCGAGCTAGAAACTATCCTAAGACTAGATATATATGTATGTACTTTATGTGTATATGTGTATGTATATGTATTATATGTGTGTGTGCGAAACTATTATATATCCAACATTCGTATATATATATATATATATATATATATATTTACACACATATATTGGCTGTAATTTGATTGTAAATGTTGTATGGAATTTTGATTGTGAACAAAATATTAAAAACAAACGCCATCGATATGTGTTATAATTCGTAAAACTGTTTTCGGACTATATTTGGGGGAAAAGCCACAATAATTCTTGGACTATATTTTACCTAGGTTTTGGTGGAAATTTTGTTTGAAAACCGCTGCGTTTGTGGTTAAGGACTATATCTGTGGAGCAATCAGAGTTGGAATGAGTATATTCAAACGATTTAGAGATGAATTACAACTCTTTCATAAGATTCTCTGGTTAGTTTTATGCATGGAAAAGCATTACCAATTATTTCAGGGATGGTTTATGTTTACTGAAAGGTTTTAAGACTCTTTGTCGATTATTTCTGTTGGGAAATTACAGTTGGATTAAGAATACTCCAACATGTCTTGAAAACATTCCATACTCGCATAGGGGAACTCTTAGATGTTGCACTTCTTTCTTAGGATTCATAAGGCATATGATGCATGGAACGGGGGTTTGTTTAGAGATGGATTACAGAGAAAAAAAAGTTCAAAAGTGTTCCATATTGCCATCATTTCTCTTAAGATTCTTTTGTTAATCGAATGCATGAAAATTAGTGGATCAAAATGTATATTTAATCCAAAAAAAATACCTACAGCCTTGACTATGATTTTTTTTTAAAGGCATACATATGTATCTTAGCCCTATGAATCCTAGCTATGAACTGCAGAACTGTCCTAGATAGATATTTATAGATCCTTGCCACTCAGTGAATGACGTCGGATAATTGAAATAGACACTGGAATCGAGCTATAGCCTTTGCCGTTTGCATTTGCCCTACTTTCCAGAGAAGAGACGCACCTGAGAAGAGCGAGAGAGGCCTGGCCTGGATGGGAGGGATGACCCAGATTTATAAATAAATTTAAATGTGTTTTTGGGGTGGGGGTGTTGGATGGTGGGCGGAAAAAAGAGGACAATTTGGCATTTGAATAAATCATTTTTTTGATTTTCATTTACTAATTTAAAATCACGATTAAGTGTGGCATTTAGTTAACGATTAATATACACAGTAAATACATGAATATTACGGACTAAGAAAATCTTTGGGGGTCGATTGGTTGCAGGTTCTTGCAGGCCTTGCACCGTCTAGAGCCTCCACAGACGACTGCTGTTGCCACCGGTGGCCCCCTCCGCCTCGCCGCGCAGCTTGTTGTCATCGGTGCGCCATACGAACGGCTCCAGGCGGTCCTCATCGTCCAGGAAGTTATTGATTGCCTCCAGACTGGCAATATTCTCGTGCAGCAGCGAATTGCAGCGACTCAGCTGATGGGAGACGCTCCGGATTTTGGCAAACTGTTCGGCATACGAGGCATACGTCTTCTGCATATCCACGAAGCTGGCAAACAGCGTCGTAATGGAGTTGCTGACGACCTTGGTGCGCTCCACCAGATGGTTCTGCTCGCTGGACACATAGCAGGCGCAGAGATTGAGATGCGTCTGCATGCGCGTACAAATGTTGATCAGATGCTGCGAGTGCAGGCGCTCCAGGATCTCAGCATCCCGCGTGTATGTGGCCGAGCTGATGGACTCCCGCAGAACGGGAAGGAATTGTGGAATGCTGCGCAGCCGGGCCAGATCCGGATCGATGTCGTCGTTGGTGTCCCTTGCCCCGGGCTTCACAATCACAATGCTGTGACTGGAGACCGTCGATTGGGGCCGCTTCGGCTTGGTGGAGGTGGTGAAGCCTCCCGGATGCGACTTCCTGTTTGCCGCCCGACTCGCGCTGCTCTGCTGCAGCAGGTGGGCCGGCTTTGAGCGGATCTTTGGCGAGTCGCCGATAGGGCGGTCCGTGTATGAGACATACGGCAAGTCGGAGCACACGCTCAGCGGCGGCGACGGCGGCCGACTCAGCTCAGAGCTGGCCGGCGACGAGGCATCCGCTATAATCTGCTTGCTGGCTATCACAATGCTGGCCGGTCCAGTGCCCGGCACCGTCTGTTGTCTGTTCAGGCCACCGCCGCGCCGTTTGTTGGCCGCCGCCGTTCCGGCTGCGGCTGCCAGGGCCATGGAGCTGCCATCGTGCAGGCCACCGCCCCCAGGCATATGTCTGCCCTCGAAGATCTCGTGGCCATCTGCCTCGGCTCGCTGCTGGGAGTGCTCGGCCCCCATTTATCGATTGATTGTGTTGTCAGGGTCCTCTTGTGGCACTCCCAGTCTCCTGTTTGAACCGATTTCCCTGGCCCGCAGCTGTTTCACTCGGCTGCAGGCAGTTTTCCGTGCATTGGCTAAGCTTCTGTTACTTGTTGCATCACTTCACGACAATCTACGCTCTTGAAACACTGTAAAAACAGCCAAAAAACAATGGAAACTCGGATTTTACGGATGAGATTCGCCAGCAGTGTAACCACGGATTTGTCGTCAAAATATACCGTCCGACCCTCAGATATATATACCGAAATATACCGTCTCATTTAAAAAATATACCGTAAATATACTGACGAATTCAAGTTATATTTTACATATTCCTCGTTTTTAATCTTCCGTCGAATATTACTAGCAAGATGGAGCTCTCTGCCCTGCCCAATTGACTGGATTATTTTAAACACTTGCTTTTATTGCATTTTGAGAAAAAAGAGGTTTTGTCAACCGGTTACCAATAAATACTCGTTTTTGATCTTCCATCAAATATTACAAGCAAATAGACCATTTAGCCATGCCCACATAGTTTTATACGATTGATGTATCAATTTTCTACTTGACTGGCCTATTCTAAATACTTGCTTTTATTGGATTTTTATATAACGTTGAAATTTAAATTTAATAGATTGATGAAATTGACAAAATATACCATTATATACCGAAAAGTATTAAAAATTCCGTAAACGGTCACCCTGTTCGCCAGCGCAAATAATGCCAAAGCGCTTATATAATGATTATATAATCGATAATATATTCGATTACTGATTTCATTTAAAATGTTTTTATAACGGTTTTTAGCTAAACATTGTATAAATGAATACATTGTATTATTTTGTTTGCTTGGAATTACAGATCATTGCTCTGTTTCGGCGGTAGTACGAGTATATTGTTGAAATAAATTACTAATTTCATTAAATAATTGTTTTGGTTTAATGATTGGACCAACTGTCTTCAGCTTTTTCTTATATACACATACATATATGTACGACCACTAATCTACCTAATATATCTATACACATGTCAGGATCTGCAGACACGGCGACAACCTCTGATGATTGCGATGCGAAATGAGTGACAGGCAGTTGTGGTACTGTTTCTGATACTGAATTTTATTGAACAAATGCATCCATTTATATAGCAGTGGTAATCTTATTGTATGGGAGGGAACGCACTCCTTGTGAGTTTGTATTTTTAAATAGGGTTACTTACCCTATGCGGGGTGTTATATTCCAGTCCATTTAATTAGGTATTTGGCAGCAATAAAGTAAATAGTTTATTACTAAATCCCTTTTGGTGGGCTCGAAGTTACAAGTGCTATTGTTTATTCTTAGTTGCTAATGTATTTCTCGTGTCGTCATAATCATTCACATGAAATGACATGGACAATTTTATTTATGAGTATTTGTGTATGAGAGTGTACTGAGGGAGTACTTGACGCGCCACATCTCACACTTGTTGCGAAGACCACATTCGCTTATGATCTTCAACTCCTGATCCAGACGCGCCTTCTCATAGGGGCGACGGGAAGTGACATACATATGTATGTACATATGTACATATGTAGGTCTTCGAAAAGGCCGATGGTATGCGGCCGATTACCATGATTCAAACAATTCAACCGTGTTTCAGTTGTCGGAAAAAAGGAAAAATCTTTCGAAGATAGGCTTGTAAATGAGTAACAACTGGAGAGAGGGATTAGCATATATGTAGGAAGGCCCTTGCCTTTACAGTTTCTGCTCCGGGAAGAGAGAAAGAGAGAGATCAGCTCGTGCGCTTTTGGGCTCAAAAGCTCCCATCGAAATTCAGTGGCAGGGAGAGCTTTAGAGATAAGTAGCCATGTAGGAAGTGTTTGTTTTCTTCTGTTTCGATTCTAGCTTTCTCTCTCTCTCTGTCTCTCTGCGTGGCATACCCTACGCGCCGATAGTGCTACTATTTTGATGAGATCTTTGGCAGGGCCAAGCATAGGTTAACGGGTAGAGCATTCGTTCTTTTGTCTTTCTTTGCTGGATGGTGGATGGAGAGCTTTCCAGCATTTTTATCGCGTTTGCTGTCACCGGCCGGTCGGGGGAGCTGCTTTTGAGGTGCTAATTCGTTCGGTTTCGCTTTCGGGTGTCGATTTCCGTGAATGCGAGAACCAGAACCGAACCTGCCGGCAACCAGACCACAACCACATCATGGAGACCAGAGTGAGTCCCCATCCCGGTCGCGAATTTTGATCTAAGAAAACAATAATCTCAATATCTTCCATTTGCAGGGAAAGCCACAGCACATCCTGCAGCTGAGCGAGGAGCAGAGAGACCGTTTCGTGGGCTCCTTTGATCGGGTGCTCAGCGACATCGATGGCGTTCTTTGGAGCATGGAGTACACTGTACCGCGGGCCGTTGACGGCTATAAGGCCTTGCAGCGTGCCGGCAAGGAGGTGTCATTTGTGACCAACAACAGTGTCCGCACTATGGAGCAGTGTCTCAGGCATTTCGAGAAACTGGGCCTCCAAGTGGCCCCCGAACAGGTGTGGCATCCCGCCCAGTCGATTGTCCTCTATTTGCGCGACATTCAGTTTGAGGGATTGATCTACATCATTGCCAGTGCCCCGTTCAAGGCGGTGCTCCGGGAGGCGGGCTTCCAGCTGCTGGATGGCGTGAGTAATTCCACCCCCCAAATTGGTCCCGTCGCCAGTAATTCAATGATTATTTCTCCTTGACAGCCCAACGAGTTCATCGAGGAGAGCTATCAGAGCCTGGCCAAGACCATCTTTGACCGCCAGCCCGTGCGTGCCGTCATCATCGATGTGGACTTCAATCTGACATCGCCCAAGCTGTTGCGCGCCCACATGTATCTGATGCGGAATCCTGAGTGCCTGCTGATTGGCGGCGCCACCGATCGCCTGCTGCCAGTGGCCAAAGGTGTAAACATCATCGGTCCGGGGCCCTTTGCCTCCATACTGGTCGAGGCCAGCGGCCGGCAGGCCGTCACACTGGGCAAACCAGGACGCGAGCTGGGCGAACTGTTGATCAAGCACCTGAAGATAGCGGAACCGCAGCGAGTGCTCATGGTGGGCGATATGCTGGCCCAGGACATACAATTTGGTCGTCAGTGCGGCTTCCAGACGCTGCTCGTCCTCAGCGGCGGCTGTTCGCTGGAGCAGCTCCAGGCGGAGACCTCGCCGGACCTGTTGCCCGACTACTATGCGGATAGTGTGGCCGATGTGGCCCAGCTACTCGGCGAGACACCCAAGGCTCATGTGTAGTTCTCTCTCCACCTTTACTCTGTTTTTCATAATTTTACGAACGGGGGGTAATGGGCGTTTGTTAATCAGCGGACAACATCATACTTTAATCGTTATCTGAAATATATTTGGCACTAAACATAATACACTTTGAAGGCTTCGACCATTAGATACCCTTTAAATGTTGGGATCGATACATAATGATTCTATCGCCTAAGAACGGTACAATTTCTGTTATGATTCATGGAAGAGTATTTTGTGGCATTTACTTTTTGGGTTTTTTCAAGATCCCAAGACTTTCTTAATATTTGTATCTGCAAATGTATAATAGTACGAATACACCTTTGTTTTCCACGCCAAAGACCACTTCAATGTATTCTCCTCCTAACTGTCTGGGGGTGGATAAGGTCCAAGCTCCGTTAATCGCTATCGACCAGATCGCCCAGGCAATCGGCAACATAGTCCGGCAGCTGGGGATGATTCGCTGGCAGGCGTGACACATCTGTGGCCTTGGTGCCGCCGGTGAGGACGAGCAGCGTCTGATAGCCACTGGCCCGGGCAAAGCCAATATCACTGGCCAGGCTGTCGCCCACAAAGAGCACACGTTGCGGCGGTATGTCCGGATGGCGTTGAAGCAGCACCTGGCGCAACGCATCGCCCGGCTTGCCCAGAACCACGGGCTGACGGCCCACCGATTCGGTTACCACATTGATAAAGGCCCCAGGACCTAGAGATTAAAGAGGGAGTTTAGGGAGGATAACGAAGAAATTAGGGAGGTGCAGCATTACCTATAATCTCGCCTTGGCCGAACGGTATGAGCACATCAGAGGCACCAGCCAGGAACAGACACTGAGGATTCTGCAGCTGGACATGGGCACGCATCAGCTTGGCCGCCGACATATTGAAGTCCACATCGATGACAACAGCCTGCACTGGTTCCCCGTCGAAGATGGCCTCATGCAGATCCCTCAGGCTCTTGATCACCACCGGTCCGCTCTAAAGGGAGAGGGGGCCCAGAGAAATGTCACCAAGGCACTGTCCGCTATCCTCCCGCTTTCGACTCACCTCTTGGGCCAATTGAAAGCCTGCTGCCTGCAGCAGCTGCTTGAAGGGGGCCGTTGCCAGGCAATAGATGAGTCCCTGGAACTCCACAGACTTTAGATGATCGCAGATGGTCTGGGCCGGATGCACGATCTGGTGCTGCAAGTTTTAGAAAGTCGATTAATGCTCAAAGAATATACTGCTGCTCCTGGATCTTCAACCTCCTCTATCTTCAGGTTTCCCTGGCGGGCAAACTTCTCGATGTGATCTTCCGGGGAACTGATGCTGTTATTGGTCACAAATGTCAGACGCTTGCCCAGACTCTGCAGATGGGCAAGAGCCCGAGCCGAGCCGGGTATAAAGTCGCGTAGGGGATACCAGACCACACCTTGGAACGGTAGAAGGTTGAGGTTGAAATTAAAGGTATCCGCCAGAGGCACATTCTCACCATCACAATCGCAAAAGACCAGATCAAAGGAGTCTAAGAACCGCTGGCGATCTGCCCCATGCAGTTCCTTGAGATTCTTCGACTGTCAGAGAAAGAGATAGAGAGAGAGAGCGATTAGGTTTCCAAAGCGGCTTATTCATCTGCCCTCTGGCATACCAAACTCATTCCGAAAGCCGACACAAATCCAGATCACAGATCACAAGTGGTGGAGGAGCAGAGACAGAGAGAGAGAGAGAGCTCAGAATTCCATTCAAGCGTTACCAGGCGCAACAGATTTGTGACTAAGCCAAGCGGCAGCACAATCCAACGCTGGAAGACACCTTCCAAAGACAAAACCAGCCCCAACCCCAACCCCAGACCCCAGTGCATTATGATACATATATGTACATATATGTATTTGCAAATTGCATTAGTCGCCCGCTACTCTGCTTCCATGGCTCGCTGCATTTGCCCCTGCCACTGGCACTGTGTCACTTGGATGCGCCTCAATTGAGACCTCCTCTCTGTGGGGCTGGGTGTCACTTTCAATTGAATGCTGTCTAAGCCTCTCTGTTCCAATTGATTTGCTTTTATCACCTTTCGATTCGTTTTTATAATGCTATCCGGTTCTATTATGACATAAATGCGTGCATACGCATATACATACCATGTATATCTCTGTATATAGTATCTGTCTTATCTCGAACGTGGAGCATATCATATAACTATTTTAGGTCTTGAATTCAACCGTTTTTATGGCACTAAAGCTTTCCTATGCTCACGTTCGAGAGTTTCAACAAACAGGAAATATATATGCTCTCAGAGACTGCTAGACCACTATACTATACCGAAAAGCTGTTCTATGGCGGGGTTTTTCGTTAAGCCCCTAGAAAGATGGCGCGCAATGCTTTTTTTTACCTATGCTTCGTCTCTGACTGGGGCCGGCTACCTACTTGGCTTCGTCTGGGTTCCATAATCCTAGAAAAAATAAAAAGACGCAGAAACGTCGTACTTTTCGGTCAATGCGTTACCCGTATCATGTCAGGGGCGAGTTTTGGTCTAATCTGAAAATGTATTCTTATGAACCATTGGGCTTAATGGCTTCTCTTAATTTTCCTAATTTCTTTGATTTTAAATGTATAAATCATAATATAAAATTGTTCAATATCATTACTCTTTGAATTTCACCATAAACACCTGCTCTATTTAATGGAAAACTGGAAATTTCTAACATCTATATAACAAACTAATATAAAACCCATTCTATGCCGTTACTCTTTGAGTTTCATATACAAAAATGTTATTTTTAATGGAAATCTAACAAATGAATAATAAATCATATGCCATATCTTTACTCTTTAAATTTCCCATACAAATTGTTCTTTTTAATGGAAATCTCTATATAAATCACTGGAGACCATTGTTCAAAGACCCCATAGTATATATTTCTTATAAAAACACCTAAAACACTGTCATATCTTTGCTCTCTGAATTTCCTATAAAAATGTATTCCTTTAACTGAAAGTCTCTTTCCAAAGAACTAGAGATCAAAAAGTAAAAGATCTCATAGCAAATATGTGTAGCTCTCTTTTATAAATATATATACAGCGTGATTGTTCTCTTTCAATTCGTTGACTGCTGGTTCAATCATTCTTTATTCGGGGATTTTTGCTTCATTTTTTAGTTCAGATGCGTTTCGTAATCGTATTCGTAATTTGTTAACATTATTTTTATTGTAAACGCAATCGTTGCAATCGTATGCATAAATATGTTTATCAAAACAACAATTCACTTTATACTAGATTGGGGGATCATCTGCAGAGATTGTACATACAAAAGACATACATAGGTATTCCTTAAGGGATCAACAATCAAAAAACAATGATGGTTTCTGGGATGGGCAGAGGACTGTGGTACATATGTCATATGTTTGTGTTCGTTTTGTTGTAGGTAGTATATGTATATATATATATATGTATGGTAAGGTACATTGGATTGTTTCTTAGTGTTTTAGTATACATAGCACATGTATGTATGTATTGTACAAATATACAATGGTGTATAATTCGTTTTTTGTTCAATCATGACCTCCTGTCCCTTCGCTTTCAACTTTTTCGTTTCATTTCCATGGCATGCAATGCACAAAACAATAAATAATACAATACAATACAGAATAATCGAATAATGCACATTTGGACATTTGGTGTATATCATACCCTTCCTACAAAATACAAATATAGCTATATATCATATATATATATATATATATATCTTTCTATCTATCTATTATGTATATCTGTATAATTTCTGTGTGCTGCTGGCGCTGGCAAAAGCAAAGATGATTCTCTCGTACAAAATACATAAATTAACTATATCTGAACAAACCATTCAACAATAATGTATATCAAGTGTATGGTATGGTATACCCTATATAAAAATGCAAATTGCTTGACTCTCCGTTTCGTTGAGCACTTTCGATGCAAAAAACACGCATTATAAAAATCATCTTAAGTACAAAGCACAACAACAACTGCTGGACGTGTGTCAGCGTGTATATACAATACATGAAATAAAAGAAACTTATGGAATGAACTTATGGATATACAAAAATATATATGTATAAAGGCAGGCAGGCAAGCAGACGGCCCAGGCTGTTAAACAAAGGAGGTGGCATCCTCATCACCAGCACCATGGCGCTGGCGCATCCCCGATGACTCCTGGCTCTTGGTCTGCTGGATGTGGACTGCTGTCTGGGCCTGCAGCATGGCATGCTGTTTCTCGTACTCAATGATGTGTTCGCGCAGCAGGAAATTCTCGCGCTTGATCCGCTTCAGCAGTCGACCAGAGACATCGGGCACGGCCCAGCGCAGCACGCCCTGCAGCATATTGATGATGTTCTAAGGCAAGCAAAAGATTAAATAGGGCTAAATACAGATCTATTTCGCATTGAATGACCATACCTGATAGATGACTATGAAGGCCAGACGACCCGTGAGTATTTTCCAGTAGATCATGGGCCGCTTGTACGGATGATCGTCCGTGGGCGCATTCCGGAACTCTGTGTAGCGACACTCCGTCTCATTCACAAACTGACTGCCCCCGAGCAGTGGCTGCAGCTGAAAGTCCTTGGTGTTGAAGTACGCCAGCGTAAAGTTTAGATACCCGTTGAGCTCCCGGTCGCCCGTTGAGGCTGCGTACACGATTTTCGGTATGAGGTTCGTGCTAAATGCAATTATCATGGCCTAAAAGGGTTTACAAACGGCAGCTTAGAGATCTACATTGATTTCTATATTCTCGGTTGGACTCACGCTAGAGGCCACGGCTATGCGTGTGACTACAGTCATGATGTTGTGCCACACGCCAATGTCCCTGGCTCGCATGCCCACTGGTCGGCGCAGGAAGCGCAGCATCTTGATGGCATCCAAACGCACTTCGATCACATTGTTGAGCAGCGCCAGCAGCGGTGCCAGCGGAAAGGCCAGGCTGAATAATGTGATAAAGCCGAATTGCACGACTGCAGCACCACCATTTAGAGGGAGATGGAAGAGAGAAAGAGAGAGATAGAGAGAGGTGGTTAGAAAGCACTAAAACAATCCCACTGCTGCTTCCCAGTGGATTCAAGAACGAAAATTGCAATGTTTTTATAAGATTTTGAGTTTTTTTTGCCCGATCCTTACCCATTTCCAGGTACTCCACATAAAGCGAATTATTCTCGGCGGGCAGTAGATTGTAGTCCTCGGTAAACTGATTGTAGGGCACCAGTCGCTGCTCCTTGTGGCTCTTGTACCAGCCATGACGATAAATCATCTCCTTGATGGTGCGCTTCAGATAGGGAATGAGCATCTCGACAATGGCGTTCACTGCCTGCTTGCCGGCCATAATTATCACCAGCTGCATGCAGAGCTCCATGAGACAGCCGCCCGGATTGCACTCCTCCTGGCGGAAGCCCAGCACCCGATTGTATTTGGCCGGATAGCCAACAAACTTGCCCTTGAGGAAGGCTATGTAGAAGAGCGAGGAATAGTAGTTGACGAACTGGAACACATAGTTCTTAATGGTGAGGCTCTCGTCGTACTCCGTTTGGGTGCGGCAGTACTCGTAGTTGGTCAGATGCACGGCTAGCTTGGAGTAGACCAGGTCCAGCAGCGAGATGACAATCAGATCGATGATGCCCGCCGTCATGGGCAGGATCATCACTTTAAAGGTCATCGAGTTCTCGCTGCCCAAGATGCTGTGTGAGGCACGCTGCGCCATTCTATAGATGATGATGCCCGCAATGGCAATCACTGATATGCAAATCTGTGGAGGGTGGCGTGGAGTGGAGTAAACATGATCAAGGATCGTCTTAAGAAAGATAAAAGCATTTACAAACACTTACAAACAACACCATGATGCTGTAGCTGGTAAAGTTGGGCAGGAACTTGATGCTCCAGAAGGGCACATCCGGATCCAGTATGCCAGTGCCCTGGGTATTGCCAGCCAGCCGCTTCGAGCGCGATATCTTTGCCAGATACTGGGAACGCGGATGTTCCACATGATGTGTGAAGCCAGTCAGGCCCCAGCGATGCACCAGTCCCGCCGAATAGCGTTTCCAGAACTCCAAATATGTCACCGACCATATGGCCATGGCTAGGGCAAACACCACCGTCATATTGTTGTCTATCAGATAATTAAACTTGGAAGACGTGCACGTCTCGTTCAGGCGCCAATAGTCGCAGCTGCGATCGCACTGCGGACACATGATCGTTCCGCTATCCTCGCAAATATCACGACTGATCGGATCACTGCTCCACGTAACAAAGCCGTATAGGAAGCAGAGCAAACCGAATATGCTTATGGGTATCAACATTTGAGTGTAGAATCCCAGCCAGGCAAAGTACAATGCCACCTTAGCACCGAAGTAGTCTTTGATTTGGTCGAGTGGCTGGAGGCTATATAGGAAACAAAATATATACAAGATTTGTAGTATTCTAAAGTCAACAAGGGAAGGATTACTACAAGCATTCTAAGGATTTCAATGGATCTACTGGTATTACAGGGGATTGATGGGAGAACCTATGTAAGTATTCAAAAATAAACAAGAACGGAAGGCTATGTCAAAAACACTATAGGTCAGGGATATACCAAGGAAAGAAATTCGGGAAGCTATCTTAAAAGCTCACAACGGAACTATCCATTTGATCTATTCCCTGACCTATAGAGCAGCAAACACTTTACTATTCCTATTAGATATACTGGAAACTATGTGTCTTTGTTCCCTCCGATGTGTAGATCGAGGGGATTTTTTGAAAATACAAGCAATACCCTACATAATGGTTTCCAACATTTAAAAAAGGGGGAAATCCCCTTCTGTGCATAAAAGCTACTAGTCCTACACTTTCTCTCCAATATGATAAAATATAAATAATCCGGATTGTTCTCTAACCATAAACAACAATTAAAATGAATCACAAGGCATTTCCCTCTTACTTCTTCCACTTGCTGATGTTGGCCCACTCCTTGAGCAGACGATCCCTGTCCGCTTTCTGCAATAGAAAAGAACACAATCAATATATATCTCGTGGAATAGAAATATATATCTCAAAACTCACATCGTGGAGGGTGTAGGCGCATGTATAGATGCCATCTTGAACGAGCTTCTCGACGCCCAGATTGTCGACTGTTTCCTCGCCTTCGAGAAAGTGCTGTCGCTGCAGTATAAAGTTGATGATGGAGTACCGAGTGCTGTCATCGAAGAAGTTTGGATGCTCTGTGTCGTACAGCTCCAGATAGTTGCGTGAGAACTCCAGGTGGATGCGCGGCTCTCGTTCGGGAAAGAGTTCCGTGTTCAGCTGCACGGAACTGAAGAGGCTGCGGCACATGCGGGTGAAGCAAGACTTGAAGGCGGGCGCCGCCTCATCGAAGATCTGATCCTGGCCCGGTATTGGCTTCAGTGGCACCTTGATCTTCAGTATCTCCGCATAGCGATAGAGCACCTCGAAGGGGGCATGGATCTTGATAAAGTGCACGCGCTGAACTTTGTTGTGCTCCAGCTGCAAGCCCTCCCTCTGCAGATTCGCCTCGAAGATCTCCCGCTTCCGGCGATGATCCTCCACCTGATCCTCGCCATTGTAGGCCAGCACAAAGTCCACGCTCCGTTTGCCATCATCAAAGCGTCTGTAGGTCTGTAGATCCCAAGAAAGAGAAAAGAGAAGAGCTTTAGACAAATCCGCATATGAATCACATCACACTGAGACGGCGAAACGAAATATCTTAAAAATACGTATGTTTATCTATAAACTAGAAACAACAAAGCGTGTGGGTGCGAGTGCCTGCACTTCCCGGGCCCCACCCCAGCCCATCACCATGCGAGACTCCTCCTGGGACTCCTGGTTGCCCAGCCAGGCCAGAAAGCCACAGCAGGCCGGCATTTTTGGGAGAGACGGAACGGAACGAAAGAACAACCGACCGTCGCGGCCGAACAGCAGAATGGGTTTGATGCCGCCTCCTCCTCTGTCTCTCTCTCTCTCTCTCTGCGAGGCGGGAGGCGGCACAGATTGGAGATGTATGCATTGAATATATATTTATTTAAATATATACCATGCAGACGTTTTTCTCCGTGCAGCAGCAGGCAGAGCATTAGCATACATACTATTTATAATTACAATAAAATACAAAAATATACAAAACAGTTTTTCATTTACCCAAAAAGAAAATTCCCTCAAGCAAGCTTTTTGGAAAGAAAGAAAGCTTTCGGTTCACCGAAGTATTGGATACCCTTTGCAGACCGTTAGCTACACAGCTTCATATTGTATGTATAGTATCTTGACATATTCTGTGATTTATGTAGATTGCTAATCAATAACAATTTAGAGCTTAATTGAAAAGGTTTGTTCCTCAAAGCATAGGTCTTATGACAGATCATTGGACCGAAGAATGTCTAGATAAATAATATACAATGCATCGTTTATCGGTATATTTCCAGAGACTCTTAAAACCTTGTCCTTTAACCGATTGTTCCTAAGGCAGCTATATATATTTACATACAGATTTGGTTATAGTATTTCTACAGACATTATGGATGGCTAACTGGCAAAGATATATAAATACAGACAAACGGATGCACTCCAGTCCTGCTGCTAATAAAGAAATCTATATGCTTTCTGGGTGCGTAACAAAACCTATACAGAATAATAATGCTCTTTCTGCAAAAGGGTATCATCAATCAGAAGCAAATAAAACAAAGAAGAGTGTGAAAGAAGAGGCGTCTAGAATGCGTGTGTTCGTGTGTGTATAGCAAAAGAGAACGTTCGAAGAGTGCGAAAGCTTGCTCTAGAGGTGATGTGGGAGATGTGTACATATACCGTACCGTACTCCGTATCGGTGTATGTATGCAAATGTGGATGAGATGGAAACAACAACAACTGCCGCAACAAAGATGAGAGAGAGCGAGAGATCAAGAGAGAGCGAGCAGGCAGGTTGGTTGGTTGGGTGGGTGGTTGTGATGAGAGCGAGTGAATGAGTGAGTGAGTGCGAAGGATTAAATAAGAGAGGCAGCGAGCAGAGCGGCAGAGCGAGGCGGTTTTTTTGTTTTTGGTTTTTTTTTTTTGTTTTTTGGCGTTTCGTGCGGTAATTCGTTGTGGATCATATCGTAATTTTTTGTTTGTTGGATCGTATTGTTATTGTTGTTGTTTACCCTCAATTTCCACTGGGAGTATGTAATTGGCAATTTCTTATCTTTATTAGAAACTGTGCTACTATTTCTTAACAGACGTCTAGAGACCTCATCGTCACCACCTCCTGCTCCAGCTCCTGTATGGCCGCCAACACCAATCCCCGTGGGCAAATGATTCCGTCCGTTGTGCAGGGCCAGCATTTGTGCGGCAATCGCTGCATCCGTTTGATCGCCTCCACCGTTCAGGTGCTCCAGTGCCGTCGACTGCCGATAGCCGGGCTGCCACGCCAAAGCCGCATGCTCGGCAGCGGCGCCACTACCCAGCCGCAGGCTGTTGCGTGTCTCATCATTGGCCAGATCCACGGCCGAATGGTAGATTGTGTTCCGCGACTGTGACAGCGATTTGCGGTGGGCGGCTGCGGCAGCCGCCGCCTCGGAATCCGCCAGCGAAATGGTGTCAAAGTACAGGCTCTCGCGCTCGTCCATCTCCGATTCGGGATAGTCGTAGTCGTGGGTGCGGACTGGAACGAATGGGCATTTGAGGGATTAATCGGGGATATCTGGACTAGGCAATAGGTTGGTTTTAGTGCGTGCATTACGAGCAAGTGGATGACGAGATGATGGGATGATGACGGCCCTTAACAGAGGGACACCACAGGCGATGCGGATGATCGATCGTTCCCCTTACAAAGTAAGAAATTATTTTATTCTGATTCTGATTGAATTACTACTGATTTACGCTGGCTTTTGGTCTACTATACATTATTTTACATATAAAATTGGCATTGAATAGGCGAAATCCCAGAGAATTTTCTTTCAATAGAAATGCATCCACCTTTACCATAAATCCAATATACCCCTATGCCCTTTTTGAGTACCGGGTATAGCAAATCCGTTTCTACAATCCCACCACTTTTATTACTTAAGCAAATAAATAAATAAATTCTATATTAAAATTAAAGAGCCGGCCGGAATCGTATTGGTATAAATTATCAAGCCCCTTTCCACCATATTAATTACTGATAAGTTTCGCTTAGTGCTTAGTTTCGATAGTGCCAGACATGAAAAGCAGATAATGTGTAGCAAAGAGGATGATGATGGCATGAAATTCCAATTCCGATTCCGATTCCATGCCGCCTGCTAATTCGGTGGCAAAAACTTATCAGAGAGCCCAGCCGCTGTTGCTGCTTCTATTTTTCTGATACCAATACGGTGGACGGGGTCATTTAAATGCGGTCAATTATATAATTGATGCCCCCCTCCCGTTTACGACACACATGAGTGGTGTGGGAGCTTCGATGGATGGATGGATGGATGGATGGATGGTTGAATGCTTGGTGCGGGGGATGTGGGTCTGATGATCCGTTTCCGGCGAACACTTTACGCACTGAATGAGTCCTAAGAAAAACCAAACCAAAATCGAACCCCATACAAATAGGTGTGTTCTCAACCAAAAAAAATGCAGAACAATAACGATCGAAATATGTACAAACATAAATGCATAATAAAAGAGACACAAAAAAGACAAAGATCGTTGGGTTGGGGCGGGGTGGAGCGCAATGATCGAGTGATGATGGAATTTGTTTGATCATTTTTCATTTTATTTACCCGCCGAATACATGGTGAACGGCCGAGGCAGAGGCAGAGGTAGAGAGAGAGAGAGAGAGAGCGGGTAGAGTAGCGCGTGGTGTATGGCAGTTTTTTTTGTTTTATTTTTGCTATATCGATTATAGATAGATCCTTGTGGCCTCGGATTCGGATTCGGCTTTGGCCTCAGCTTCAGCTCTCCTCTCTCTGGTTATCGATTCCTGGCGATCCACTTTGTTTCCACACACGGACGGGGGGCGGCTGCGCAGGTGCGCCTGAGCCCGGGCATAACGGTATTACACGACGACGACTGAAGGAGTAGCGCAGGCGGCAAAAAAAATAGAGACCACACCACAGGTGACGCAGAAGAAATGTGAGCACTCAAACAAACAAAAAAAAAAACAACAAAAAATCGCACGCACACGAACGCCGCAAAAAATAAAAAGAAGGGATGATGTCAGAGGGGGGGGTACAACAAATATTAGGCGGCCCCAATATATGCGTACGCTCGCTCGCGTTGTTTGCCGATTACTGAAAAAACCAAATACGAAACAAAATACGCTTTGCTCCGCCGGGGGTTAACCAAACTCAGTAGCCAGCCTCAGACCCAGCAGCGCCCCAGAACTACATTGAACTAGAAACAGCACCAAAGAAAAAACGAAAAACGAGGGGGAACGTTGCGAGTTGCTGCGGAGACCGCAACTCTACATTTATACCCGACATCTCCTCCGGCAGACGCCGCTAATATTAAGCGACACGACGAAGAGTGCGTGCGAGAGAGACAGAAAATCAGTCTGAGCGTGACGTCGGGCGCTGCGTAGCCAGTGCAAATTGATTTGTTCCCTTTGGCTATAAAAATTATCTGATCTGATCCAGATTCAGAAACCTGATAGATATGATCATTATCTATGATTCTGCGTTTTTAGTTTTCTCGTATCTTCAAAATTGTGGATGCCACAGATTTTCGTTCTTTGGGGGGGGCGGAAGGGGGTATGGCGAAATTTTGAGATATACGTTTTATAGTGAGATCTAACAGGAGTGCGGATACCAAATTTGGTTACTCTAGCGTGAATGGTCTCTGAGATTTGTAAATATCCCCAGCCCCTTTGCGGGGGCGGAAGGGGGTGTGGCGAAATTTTGAAACAAACTCGTCTCGGTCCGATATCTTAGGAGTGTGGATACCAAATTTGGTTGCTCTAGCTTTTATAGTCTCTGAGATCTAGGCGCTAATGTTTTACTCTAAGCAAAGCCGCCTATGCTACCTGTGTGTTAGAGAGAGACAGGGCGAGAAAAAATGAAATTGTTTTCTTGATGCTAGCTATAATAATAATACTATCCAATTCAGATTCTGCAGTCTAAAAGATATGGTCATTCTCTACGATTCTGCGTTTTTGGTTTTCTCATATCTTTAAAATTATGGATGGCACAGATTTTGGTCCTTTGTGGGGGCGGAAGTGGGCGGGGCGAAGTTTTGAAATATTTTTGTAGCAGTGACATATCACAGAAGTCTGGATCCAAAACATCGTTGCTCTAGCTCTTATGGTCTTTGAGCATTAGGCGCTGAAGGCGGACAGACGGACGGACAGACAGACATGGCTCAATCGACTCGGCTATTGATGCTGATCAAGAATATATATACTTTATGGGGTCGGAAACGATTCCTTCTGGACGTTACATACATCCACTTTTACCACAAATCTAATATACCCCAATACTCATTTTGAGTATCGGGTATAAAAACCGAACACACACACAAACACACGCAAAAAACATAAAAAAACAAGAACAATCAACTGATTGCCCAAATACAGGCAGGCGGCGGCATGCAGCCAGATGTGACGTTGCACAGTGTTTGGGAAATGATACGGCAAATGGGTTTCGTACCCCGCACAGTGTCCCGAAATTGTAGAAGAACGGGAGTGTACATATGGGAGGTACATATGTCCCTGTTTCCCAGATTATGCAAAAATCTCCCTTTAAAAGAGCACACTGAATATAAAGAACTAAAGATCTCCTAGGTTTCAGTAATCTTTTAAGGTTCTTTTGTTGAATATTAATGATCCATCATTCAATCTTAATGGAGAATTTCTATAAGTTTCCACTGGAGTTCTTCTGTTCGAATTACAACAAAAGTTGCCTAAATTATGCCTAATAGTTGGATTTCTCTCACTCTTTCTTTAACAGAAAACCCATAAATTATACTTCTGTCTTAACAAAATCCGAATGTGGCTCCGAGAGCACTTTATGTGGGCGTCAAGCTAATATGCTCTTTCGTGATAGGGTAAACGCCACAGATAGACACAGGGGGGGAAATCATTGACCTTGACGGAATATCCAAAATTGGTGGGAATACTGGGCAATACGGACTACAAAATGTGCTTCTATGTAACGCTCCCAGACGAATTTCGGAGGTCGCAAGCAGAACGAGTTGTTTATGAAGGGAAATCGGCATGAAAGAAAGAGCATGTGTACGGGGACTGCAAAGGTCAAGTTGAAGCGTAAACTGTTGACAAAAGCAAAGTGCAAAAAGAATTTTTTTTTATTTATCTTCAGCTTGTCTAACAATTTAAAACCTGTTTCACACTCTCTGCCAGACAGACAGACACACACACACACGCAGACACACAGACACAGGGGGAGAGTCGAGGAGATATAAAGCCGGAAAATAGTCCAAGACACGCAAATTTTTGGTGGAAATGGAGGCGATGGCCGCCGAAAGACATTCAAGAAGAAGGCTCATTCATCATTTGGAAGCCATTAAACACAATGAAGCTACTGCTAGCTAGCGAATGGGTGCGCTCGAGTGATAATGATGCACCATCGCCACCTCTGGCGGCATCTTCTAGGCATGAGCATGTCTCTATATTTAGCAGATTGCATACAGAAATTGTCTCTGGTGTGGGCTTGTGGGGGAGGAGGACTGCAACTTGGTTAGAAACAATGCGTTATTAGTAGTTTAGCAGGCATGCGGATTCTCCTCTCCAGTCTAACCGCCTGGGGGACTCACCTTGGTCAACCGATTTTTGGTTGTGCTGTGATGTGATGCGTCCTAGTATTTACTGGATGCCAGGGCCCATATCAACCTGCTCCTGCTGCTGTGAGTGTTTCCCGCCCCCGCACTTTCACACTCACTAATAAGACAGGTGCAAGTATAGTTTAAATCTCGGAAGCTGCTTTTGTTTTGTGAATTTCCATCAAAAATCTTCCAAAACACTTGGGATGTCCGGCCCAGTGTTGAGTTGGGAGATTGCAAAAGTGCTGGAAAATGCTGACAGTGTATTCGATATCGCAAAGTATCGCAAAGTATTATATACAATTGTCCGCTAATAAACATTGATTTGTTTAATTTTGGCCAATATTATGCTTGTTCTATGTTTTTTAAGCATTAAATGTATTGCATTTTAGGTTATTTTATGAATGAAACTCGATCGCTACAATGCTCGATAGTCAATGGTATATTTCTCTCATCTCTAACCATTTGATACCACGTCGTTTTTTGACTAGTTTTTGTTTTGTGCGTTGGAAAACCAAAATTTGTTAAATAATCGTAGCCATTAGGAGAATCCTGCATGTTCGCAGGACCGCAGCAGCATGGTGTACATCGACCGCAGTGAGTAAAAATAACCGTCCCGATGTTTGGACCCTAGAGTTCTAGACGTTGTTTATGTTTATAGATGGTCGCGTATGCGAGAAGCGTCCCTGGGACTGGCCGCGAATAGTGGAATTATTTTTGAGAATCTGGTACATCATCAAGCAATTGTAAGTGACTCAAGTGGCTCTCCCATGGGCTAGTAATAAGCCAAGTTGCTTGCAGGTTCCTGACGTTCCTGGCCCCCTTCGACGGCAAGAGCAACAATGATAACCGTCGTGGTGGAGGAAGCGGTTGGGGAGGCGGTGGAGGAGGCGGCGGCGGCGGCGGAGGAGGAGGAGGTGGCAGTGGTGGGGGCAACGAAGGATTAAGGCCGAACCGACGAATTGGCCGCATTCAGAACTCTATGTCCTGCAACACCCCTACTGGTGGTGGCGGATGAGGATAGTAGCGACATCCAGTTCCAACTAATGAACGGATGTCGCGCATATCCCAGGATGAGTCAGATTAAGCAGCACCCATAACATGACTCCCACATCAGATTCATATCTTGCCCATCGTGGCACTAATGACGCAGCATTCTAAAACTCAAATTTGAGCGGATTGCTGCGGATGCGATTGAACAACTGATATGGGGGTCGCTGTAAAGTTTGACCATCATATTTGACCCACGAATTAACTTAGCTCTATTTTAGCCATACGGTTTTCGAAACGTTTTTTTTGGTTCTGGCTTTACCAAATTTACTCAAACTAATGTTTAAACTTAAAACAATAAACTGCTTAGTTTATATTATTAAATGCGAATTAAAGATTCTTCTGAATAATAAAAATGGAATTTGAATATAAAAGAAATCTCTAGAAAATGTTTTCTGGCGTTTACGAGCACTTTCTGCTAGCAGCGATCTGGCAACACTGCACCCGGACATCTGTTCCATCGACGAAGAAGAAGGGGCAGCAGCGGTAACAGATGAGGCGCCTGGTACGAAATTGGAATAACCAATTGTTACTTAATGCAAGTACTGGACAATGTCTCGCCGCCAAGTGCGCGAGTGGCCAGCCGGCTAGGACAGAGCCCGTCGAGCCAGATAAGAATGGATTCGGCTCCAAGTACTGCATGGGCCTGGTAGAGTAAGTTGGAATTACGTGGGCACTCGAGGATTGTCTGCTGTAACTATCTCTTGTCCCTAGGAAATATGACTATGAAAACTATTTGAGCACCTTGCTGCTGCCGCGGGAACTGCGTCGAGCTGCCTTTGCCCTGCGTGCCTTTAACGTTGAGGTCTCTCGGTCAGTCAGCGGACACGTAAGTTGTGTTTGCCATTTCTTGGGTAACCATCAGCTCTAAGGGCCTTCTCTACCACTCCATAGCAAATAGAGCCGCAAATTGCAAAGCTGCGTCTCAAGTTCTGGTACGATTCCATAGACAAATGCTTCGAGCTGGACTCCCAGCAGTCTTATGTGAAGGACCAGCCAGTTCTGCGGGAATTAAAGCACGCCGTAGGGACCCGCAAGCTCAACAAAATCTATCTGCGTCGCCTGGTCACGGCCCGCGAGCGTCCTCCCAATCAGGCGTTCGAATCGATGCGGGAACTGGAAGAATACGCTGAGCAGGCTTTTTCTTCCCTGCTGCATCTGCTGGTGGAGGTGAGCGGCGCTAAAGACCTGCAAGTCGATCATGCTGCCTCCCATCTGGGCAAGGCTCAGGGCATAGCCACCCTGTTGAGGGCCATACCACATGCGGGACGTCAGCAGGCGGTCTGTGTGCCCCTCGAAGTGCTTGTACGGCACGGGGTCAGTCAGGAGCGCATATTGCGCAGCAAGAGTGACGACAAGGGCGTAGAGGAATGCATCTTCGAGGTGGCCAGTGCGGCCAATACACATCTGAAGCTGGCCCGGCAGCTGCGCGATCAAGTGCCGCGTCCGGTGCGCAAGATCTTTCTGTCCGCCGTGGCCACCGATGGTTACCTGGAGCGACTGCGACGCGCTGATTTTCTGTAAGTCCTTAAGTCTATCCTATTTGTTCCTCCTCGTCAACTTGCATTTCTTTCCAGGCTTACCCACAAAGGTTGTGTGGGACGTGACACCATGCTGCCGGCCCGCCTCTTCTGGAATAGCCTGTTGAATCGATACTGATTATACCCCTTAGCCTCTGTCAGGAGTTAGTTATAGTTTAAATAAGCCTGAAGCCAAATTGTTAAACTACCTAAATTTGCTATTTTGCAGCAGAAGGAGGTACTAAAAGTTCACAAAAAAGGTTAATAATAAATGAATGATTGTGAAAGGAAATGCAGTCGAATTTCTCTTTTACGAGCTTCCACACAACGAAGTTTTTAGTATAACGAATTTATTTCTGCAAAAATTAATTCTATTGAGATTCGCTATATGGAAGCTCGCATAATTGAGCAATTTGCTTGAATTTTAATGCTGGCGCCAATACGGATAGAATATACAATTATAACAATATCGATAACAGATCGCGGAAACGTTTGTGCGATATCCCCATCATTTACATTCGATGGCTTAGTTGGTTTAAAGCGGGTCGGAGCGAAAATTTTAGATTTTATAAATGTTTGATTTGATGTGGCAATTGTGTATTAGAAAAATCCCATCCCATGAAAAACAAAAACGGAGCAGTGTGAACCAGACGACGACGCACAACAAGAAATAGCACCGTTTTGGCCAGGCCCGCGTAAATGATAAATTATAAAATTCATATATTTTTGGCAAAGTAAGGATCTGCGGCCCAGCCCCCGCGCGCTTGTGTTTGTTTCATTCGCTTACACCGCACCTCCTACTCCAAGCAGAATTACCGCTTAGCGTTTCTTCATTTTGTATGTAACGGCACTTTGTGGTGCCGCGTCTTTGCACACAACGCTACGGAACGAGATAGAACGATAGAAGAAGGAGAGGAGTCAGGAAGAGGATAGACAAAACGAAAACAGTGCGTGTGCATGTGTATGTGTGTGAATGCCATTTGCAGCACACTTGAAATCTAACGGTACCCGTACGTACACTGGCGGGCGTAAAACAAGTGACGGTCAATAAAAATTATATTTTTCCTCCAAAAATCGAACAGATCTGAAATGAAAATTATTATAATAAAAAAGCAATTATAAAATACACAAAAAAAAATATTTAAAAAAAAAAAAACAAATAATATATATGTAAAATAATTATCCACAACATAAAAAAAACACAAAAAAGCAAGGAAAAAAATATTAAAATATATTTATTACAAAAAAAGAAAGAAAAAACTAAAATATTTTACACTTAACTTAAAAAAAAAAAACAAAAAACCAAAAACATAGTCCTTAAGCCAACACACACAAAAAAGCAGTTCGTGCTGGGATCCCAATTTTATTCCACAAAAGAAAAGAAAGGAAAACCACGAAACGATACCACTGCTTCTAGCCCCACCCACGGAACGAACATAAGGGTATCCCCTAATGTATGCCACCCAAAGAGACGACATGAAGATCTTTGTCGCCGCAGAAGTAGCCGCCGCCGACGCTGCCACGAGCACCGCTGCCACCGCTGGGTGCAGCGCACTGCCCGTGCAGCAGCAGCGAGAATTCCGTCCTGGCTCCAATCTGAAGTACAACGGAAAATACAACAACAAGACATCGAATCTGCTGAGGCAGGTGACGAGCTACCACAACAGCATCACTAGCATAAATGGCCTCAACGAGGCCGCCAGCAACACTAAAAATCAACAGCATCAGCAGCAGCAGAAACCACAGATGCTCTATACGAATCACAGTCACTCGTTGGCCAGAAAGAAATATTTTGGTAGTAACAGCAATTTACAGCAGCAGCAGCAGCAGCAATCGTCCTACTACCAACAGCAGCAGCAACAGCAGCAAAATCTTAACAACAATAATTTGTTAATGAAAAATCAAAATATAATACAGCAACAAATGTCCGACTGCAAGCTGAGTGATGGCAATAATAACAATAATAGCCAGAAAACATCAAGCAAATGGCTGAACAACAACAACAAGAAACGCAGCTCTCCCTCCACATCCATAGAGTCGACATCGTCGTATTATCGCAGCAGTCCCGATTCCTCAACGGAGGCCTCCTCAACCACAACCACAGCGGCCACAAGTCTCTGCAGCAATAGCTCTAGCTCTACCAGTCCCAACGAGGATGCAGAGACTGGTGAAACGGGGGAAGGGAAGCAGCTAGCAGGAGCAGCAGCAGCAGCATCAGCAGCAGGAGCTGGAGAGAGCCTGAAGGCAGCGAGACCACCCCGGCAGCAGCCATTGAGCTTCTGGAAGACCAACTATCCACAGCAGCCCACCAATCAAATGAAGAATGTGAGTAAAGCTCCTTAAACGAGAATAAATTTCACTTTCTAATTTCCGTTCTCAAGCAGCAAGTGGGAATGACTGTGGCCAGCCAGAAGGAGGCACTGGCTGTGGAACAGCAACAACAGCAGCAGCAACAGCAACAGCAGGGACTGTCCTACGACCAGAGACGCAACTCTGGGGGTGGATATCAGCAACATCAGCAAAACTATTATCAATATTATTATCCACAGCCCAAGCAGCTGACAATAGCCTCGTTTTTGCAAAAGGAACTCCTGCCGGAAGCCAACAGCAGCAGCAACAACAACAGCAACACCAACAGCACCGACAAAAACAGCGGCAGCAACAACAGCTTTGGCAGGCATCCAGCAACAGGAGGAGGAGGAGCAGGAGCAGGGAGCGGTGGCTACCAACAGCATCGCTATAGGAATGCACAATACCTCTATCAGCATTACCAGCAGCAGGCGCAGGCGCAGCAGCAGCAGCAGCATGCCCAACAGCAGCAGCAGCAGCAGCAGCATGGGACTAGCACCCATTTTCGGCGTAAGCACAGCGACAATCATGGGAACAACAACAAGAAAATGCACTACAGTTCCGAAAGCATCGTTGGCCCTCAAAAGTCCATTGAGATATTGCCCAGTAGCAATTTCAATGCAATGCATCGACGCATTCAGGGCGGGAATGGCGGGAAGAATGGATACTACCAGCATCACTACCATGCGGTGATCGGTGAGAGTGGGGGGGCGGCAACCACGCCGACCAGCTACGAGCATCAGAATCTGTACAATCTCACCTACGTAAATGTGGATAAGGATGCCTGCAGCGAAGGAGCAGCAGCCAAAATAGGAGGAGGAAAAGCCGCAGCAGCAGCAGCTACCACAGCTCCTGGCGGGGCCCCGACAACTGTTATCTCACCGGCCGCTGGGAAACTGTCGCTGCTGTCGAAGCCAAGCATCACCCTAACAACGGCCTCGTCACCGTCTGTACTGGGCACCACCGCACCAGTGGCCATTCCTGTGGCCAGGAATATGTTTGTGCCCCCGCCGCCACTGCCGTTGGCCCTGCTCTCGCCGATGGATAGCAGTGGCCACAGCCATTCGCCGGGCACAACGCCCACCAATATGATAAGCTGCGCCCAGCTGGACGAGGCCATCACAGCGGCGGCTGCCAGCGGAACGGCCACGGGCGAACAGCAGGCGGCGGCTAGCCACAGTCCCAACTTTCCTTCAGGTGTGCCATTCCTCATCCAGCAGCAGCCGCCACCGCCACACAGCCTCAAGGGACAGCCGCCACAGCAGCTGTTCTTTCACTTTGGCGAGGCGTATGCCAATCCGGCACCTCCGCCGCCACCGCCTGCTGGAGTGTGGCCGCATCCAAGCTCCCCCTGCTACCCACCCACTGTGTCGCCCCACAGCGTGCCTGGACACCGCTCCGTTTCGCCTACCCTGTCCTCCAACTCCTCCTCCCTCGGGAGTGAGTCCCATTGGAGTAGCAACAGCAGCCGGTGAGTCGGTCTCAAAAAACAACACGTTCTATTCCTCAAATATAAATGCATAAAAAAGGCTGAAAGCTGCAGAAGGAGGAAGGCCGTAGCTCGTAGGGTCCTTCGAGGACCTGGAGCTGGGGAGACCGCTACTCATTACAAAGGCCTGGCCGCGGGATGGTTTAGAGGATTATTTAGAGGACCATCACATTGGTTAGATCTGTCTCCGAGTTACCTCGACTGCGGTCGAGCCGCCCGATAACCCCCAAGCCTCGCTAATCAAATCGAATTTCAATCGATAGAAATGAAAAGAAAGGGGTCTTTCAATCGCGCTTTATGCAGAATAATTTATGCGAAATAAGAAATAAGAATTAAGAACATTTTCCAAGAAAAACCAAGTATTTGGGATACTATTGCGAATCAATTTGTAGTCGAGTGAACGCTTGGTATACATTTTTAAGGCCAGAATCGATTGGCGGTACCCGATTCAGGTTATGTTAGGTTATAGTGAAAGCTCGGAAGAATTCCCATCCCTGGCTTGAAATGTCCGTGAGGAAAAAGGCCCCAAGAAGCCGCGGTCTACGATTTGCCAAAGCCGGGCAATGCCAGAACCGACTTCTCCCCTTCCTCGTCCCTTCAAGTTCTGCTGAAGTCACTGTGAGGGATTAAGAGTCTGCAGGCGTTTTTGTGTCAATCTACCAGGGTCCCGTGATGCCTCTGCTCTGCCGAGCGGTTTGCTGTCATCGCCTGTTGACATTTCTCCCCGATCCAAGTAGGCCCCAAAAATGCACTAGAAACAGAGAATTTTAGCACAAGCGAAAGTGAATTCTGTCTTAAAGAGTAGGCTTCGACTTGGTTATAGTTGATTCTAACGCAAACCGAGTCAGTAAAATCAGTTTTTCTTTATTCGTTGAACTGTGCGGATCGTGACTAGAAAAAAGTTTTTTTTTGCTGCTTTATAAACATAGATTTAAATTGTGTTTAATGTTTAGATTGATAGGTCCGTCGCTATCCCCGTCGCAGCGCGCTGCTGCCTCAAACGCCGGAACAGCCGTACACCACCGGGCACATATGCACGGCCACAATATGAACGTCGCTGGCGCCGCTTTTAACCCATCGCTGTCGCATCATGTACCGACATCGCCAATATCCAGTAACCTTCCCTGGTACGAGGTCATCTTGCCGCCAGATCGCTTCCTGACACAAGCGCGCAACATGGAGCTGACCGTGCAGCCAGAGGAACTTCTTTGCAACTCCAAATTCGACAAGCTGTCGATGCAGATATGGGAGCGCTTCCTTCGAGCCCAGCAGACCACAAGAAAATTCAAGATTAAGATGCGTCTGTGGCGCTTTCTATTGCTATGGATGGCCGTGAGTACACCAGAGCACACAAACGCATTTGAAAGTACAATGTTCTACCAATTTTTTAGCCAATGTTTGCCAAGTATCGCATTTGGCTGGTGGGCTCGACCATCACTGGCTTTGGCACGGATACATCCGACATTGATATGTGCCTGCTGGGCGGGCCACCGCATTTGCATTCGCATCATCGGCTGCACCATTATCAGCAGCACCAGCACCAGCATCAAGGGCAGAATGCCCATCCACATGCACATCACTATCAAAGCGATATGCAGAATGAGAAGCGTGCGGAGGCATTGATGATTCTGAATCTGTTCCAGTCTGTGCTCAGGAAGACAGGTAAGTAAACACCCGCAACAGCAGCGGTGGCAGCACCAGTCTCTAAGAAAGTGTGTCCTTTTGTAGTTGTCTTTCGTGATTTCAATTTGATTGAGGCGCGTGTTCCAATATTGCGCTTCAAGGATATACTCAATGAGATTGAAGTGGATTTGAATTTTAATAATTGCGTGGGAATCATGAACACCTATCTGTTACAACTGTATGCACAGCGTAAGTCACACCCACAATAGATGATACACCTCTAATGGCTGTTTTGGTCCTTTAGTTGATTGGCGCACACGTCCTTTGGTTGTTGTGGTGAAGCTATGGGCCCAATATCATGACATAAACGATGCCAAACGCATGACCATTTCCAGCTATTCGCTGGTATTGATGGTCCTACACTATCTACAGAATGGCTGCACCCCCCACGTGCTGCCCTGTTTGCAGACACTATATCCGGAAAAGTTTCAGCTCGGGCAGCAGGATTGCTTCGATTTGAACCTGATCGAAACCATCGATCCGTATCCCACACAAAACCATCAGACGCTCGGAGAGCTATTTCAAGGATTCTTCAAGTACTACAGCTGCTTTGAGTGAGTTGTGTGATCGATTTGATCGATGCTTGTTTTGAAAATATCATATGTATTATCTGTGCTTTTTGGTTTCTTTTAGCTTTCGCAACCATGCCATTTCGGTGCGCACCGGCGGCGTTCTGCCAGTGTCTGCCTGTCGCCTGGCCAAGAGCAATAAGAATGATGCCTACCAGTGGAAGGAGCTGAATATTGAGGAGCCATTCGATCTATCGAACACGGCACGTTCTGTCTACGATTTTGCCACATTTGAGCGTGTCAAGGCCACCTTCGTGGCCTCAGCCCGTGCCGTGGAGCAGACGCTGGATATTAACTCAGTGTTTAGTCCCTTTTTCTTGGGAAATCAATTTGCAAATCAGCCACAATATAGCCATGGCCATGCCCAGGGCCAGTCACGCGGTGCTGGAGGAGGAGGAGCTGGAGCTGGAGGATCCACCTCTGCTGCTACTGCAGCTGGCAGAAACAACCACATCAACACCAACATGTCGCCGACCTCTGGGTGGGTATATAATCGTATTGGGATGGCCTTCCGTGGCCGGCCTCTCGGCGGAGGACGATCTGCAGCTGCAGTTCGCAACAGACACAGGAATAAAAACAAAAATATCTCGCCGATAACTGGGGGGGAACGTAACCGTAATGTGATACGTCCCGTTAATGTTGCCAATGTTATTGTGAATGCTATACCTACACGTTATATTTTCATGTAATTTCTTTAAATGTGATGCATGAACAATATTCCTTATAAGATCCTTGTAAAACCAAAGCCATTCAATAGTCAATGATAGGATAGGGGGATGCCACTTGTAGGGTAGTAGATATGATACTTGTATTTATGCTGAAGAGTAGCTGCTATAATAACAATTTAAGGAAACCCCTTTATAAGAACAGAAATTTTATAGCCACACTCCACACTGTTTTTATGTCCATCTGTAGGGTATTATACGGAACCGCAGCTTATTTTCTAACTAAAGATACAAAATATGTGATATTGCAATCGATGGCAGGGTTAAAAAGACTATATTTTTATGTTTGATGTTTGATGTTGTCTCGTCTTGTAATTAGATACCAAAGCACTCGTCCAGCAGCGAACAAACACAACATTTTTTTAACACACATAAATCTCATCTTTTTGCAGATAAAAACACTTAAAAACTCTCCATAATTGGAAAAACAACACCAACAAACAAACAAAATTCATGTATTAAAAAAAAATTTTGTAAATTATTATTCAAAGATTTTCGGGACTCCTCAAGCAACGCAAAGCGATCTGAAAGAATTATTGCCTCTGTGTTTCCCGCATATCCTTTGAATTTTAATCGCTCATATTTCGTTAAATGTTATTCTCACCACCCCTTTCATTATTTATACTGTTATACACAAAAATGTTAATGCAAATAATTCCAATTCAAATTATTGTAAACACACCACCACGTGGAGCCATAGTCCCGCTCCGATGGCATGTCTTACTCTTTTTAAATGTCATCCGAAACTGTTCCAATCCAAATAAACACAAAAACACCGAACGAAGTCTTGATTATTGGAATTACAGAGGGAAGAAAGAGGAGGCCCAGTACGTAGCCTTCAAAGGCATACAGTCCAAAAGGAACACCTGATCGGAAGGGTCCTGTAGAGGCCATGCAGAATGTTCTCTTAATGGCTATGTGGCAATAAATGGGTTTTTTATTTCCAAAATCTACAGAAAAACCTATCATACTGGGCGGTCCACTGCAACCGCTGATCCTTTTTCGTAGTTTTATCTACAGAAAGGTTGAATCCCTAAAAGGTTGTACATCTCGACTGTGAATCTTATACTCATTTTGAACACAAACCTACCACCGATCGCCGAGAGCACGCTTCTTGAAGCGTGGATATGCAACGACTCCACCATCAAGTGGCCCAAGCGACACTCGCAGAAGGCTGTTATGCGCGGATCCACCAGGCAGGAACGCAGACATCCTGCGACCGAGGGGCGAAAGTGCAGGAAAGATGTATGATATTCGAGGAAAATGAAATCCGGCTCCTTTGCTGACTTCAGTTGCAGGTTTCTTGAGGAGGAGTCGCCATGTTGAACTTTCCTCTAAAACCGAACAATGTAGAGCTATTGAAAGTACCTCTCTTTTTTTCAGAGATCAAACCCAACCAAATCCAATAGAAATAGCACACAGTCGTTTTTGGTTTTGTCGCAAATAAAAATTGTAATTATTTATTGAAATGTTTCTTTTTGCCCGCCGAAAACAACAATAAAATGCATTATTGAAATACAACCATTTTATTGTGTGCTTTCTTCTGGGTCCGTTACATATTTGTTTTTCTGTTTTCAATTTTCTTGTTTTTTTTTTTGTTGGGGGGTGGAACGAATCAACTTCACCTGCTCTTTTTTTATGTAGTAGAAAAAATATACCATCATCCATTCATCTATATCGTTTTAAAAACAACAATCGCATCGCACAACAGGGGTTTTGCATATTTCGTTTCGTGCAAAAACTCTGTAGTCTCTGTGTCCTCCACTCCATCCAGATCCGATTTGGTCGCTCGGTCCGGTCCGGTCCACACCTGTCTTTGTTCCGTTCCTGATCCTGCGGCGCTTTGTGTGGGTTGATTCGGTTCGGGTGTTTTGTGGGGTTGGTTGGGGAGGGGGGGCGGGGGGGTGGGGTGTTGTTGGAAGATCACACACGCTTATCCTATAGATAATCATCATCATTTCCGTCTGTACCGTTTGACGTCGGATGTGTTTTCGTTTTTTGTTTTATTTATTTTTTGGCAGCCTATGATTTTGTTTTTGGGGCCGCCAGCGTTCCCATGTGATTGAAAATTTTGCTTAACCATCGACTATCTAGGTATTTCCTGATTTGTTATTGCTTTTTGTTTGTTTGTTTGAAATTGTTTTTAGTTTTTTCTTTCTTTAGTTTCTTCTTTTCTATAAAAAGTATCTTTCTGTGTGGGTGTGGGGGGGTGTGTCTGTGTGTGTGTGTGTCTGGGGCAACGAATGCATACAGAATTCAAAGATCTACAAAGTGTGTACAACAGAAAGGCTTGAATGGTTTTTGTGAGTGTAAGTTTTTTGGGATAGAAGGGGAGCTGAAGAAGAATTGTACTGAAGGTGAGCCGCAACAAAAAACTCGTGTTGCAATTCGTGTCCTTAAGGCGGGTTTTCGGGGGCTCCACGCAAAGAGTCCGCCGTGGAGCAGTTTTGTGTATAAAAACGAAAAACCCTGCCATTCGACAGGGCATCGGCAACATCATCAACATCCATTATCATCCATTTTTGTGTACGCAAGTGTACCGGGGGGGTGTTGGCGGGCGTGTGGGTGGGCAAGGTCCTCTGTATGGCCCACATTTGTGTGTTTGTGGCCTGCCCCCATCTGCTTTTCGGGCGCGTTTTGTCGTTAACGTCGCCGCCAGTGTCTGCTGCAGCAGTTTCTCAGATCCGGTCCGTCTCCGTGGCAATACTCCCCATATTATTGGAGCGCTGCGGCGGCCGCTGTGTCTGCTTTCCTCTCTGTTTGTCTGCTTTCCCCCAAATTCGGTGTCTCACTTCTATGGTGTGTGTGTGTGTGTGTGTGTGGTGTCGTCCGTCTCTTGGCTTTTCCACTCTGAATCATGGTGTGCCCAAAAGATGTTCTAAGTATCCGGTTTGTCGTTTTCTTCTCCTGTTTTTCTCTCCTGCTTTTGCGCTTTCTGCTGCCTGCAGCTGCTGCCTTTTGCTCCTGCTCCTGCATTTGATTGATGTCGTCCAAAAAACTGAGTGTTTTTGTTCTTTCTGTTCTTGTTGTTTCGTGTGTGTTTTTCCCTGGTAATTTCTGGTATTCATTCGTCTGTGGGTCTTGTTGCTCCTCTTGCCGGATTCTCAATAAGGCTGCGAGAACTGATTCAAACTGCGTTCGCCCGACTGCAACAAAACGAAGAAAACTGTACCTCTCTTCCTTAATCAATCAATCAATCACATACCACACTGAAGGACACATCTTGGGAGAGCAATCCATCCATTTGGGAGATCTGCCCATAATCCTGTGACATCTCTGGCTGCTGTGACAGCGTATAGCCACCGGGCTGGGTCATCTGCAGGGACATCGATGCCGGCTGCTGGCTGAAGGGTGTCCCAGTGCTGACGGACTGTGCCAGATCCGCTCCACGGTTCTTTGGGAACTTCTTCTTGCTGCCCCCGCCGCCCAAGTGGTTGCTGCTGCTGGCTGAACCGTTGCCAACGTTGGGCCCAGGATTGGGTCCATTGCCGGGGCCCCCAGTCATGGCGAAATTACCTCCCGTCGACGATGGGGGCGGCGGCAGGCCACGGTTCTGCTTGGCCGCCGATATGGCCTGCTGATGCTGATTGTAGAACCGCGGCGGCAGATTGCTCATGTTCATGAACATGCCCACTGGCACGGGCATGTTGTTGAGGGCGGCCGCTCCATGCTCGTTCGATATATAGCTAATCGAATCGTGTTGCATGAGAGGCTGCTGGGCGTTGGTCCAATTGTTGCCGGTTCCGGCACCTCCGCTACCCGCAGAGATGCTGTTTGAAGCGTTTCCATAGTTGTTGTTGCCATTCCCTCCTCCTCCGTTGCCATTGCCGCCGGCTCCTCCTCCGCCTAGGGCTGGCGCCATGGAACCAGCACTGCCGATGCTGCTGGGAGCCCCATACCCCAGGGGGGAGCTATGATAGGGACTCCCGAAATGGCCACCGTTCTGATGCTGATGCCCCTGATTGGAGGCGGAGGCGATGGGACGGCTCTGATTGTAGGAGCCGCTGCGATCGTAGACAGACCCAGGGACCATCACCTCCTTGGCATCGGCCACCATTGTGGACATAAAATGGGCGCCCATGTTCATGGTATTCACGAGCTTCTTGGGCTTCTGGAAGTGGATGAGGGACTCCTTGAGGTTGTTCAGTGAGCCCTCGACCAGCACCTTGCGATCCTTGTAAAAGTTGAGCAGATGATTCCACAGCTGTTGCTTGGCCAGGACCTTGGGATTACCGACAATGATGATGCCGTACTTGGCACGGGTCAGGGCCACATTCAGGCGTCGCGGATCGTTAAGGAATCCAATGCCCTGACGCTCATTGGATCGCACACACGACATAATGATGATGTCCTTCTCGCGCCCCTGGAACGCATCCACGCTGGCAATCTCAATCTCCTGGTAGAGGCGCGAGTGAAGGCTGCCCTGATACTGCATGTACTGCACCAGATACGCCCGCTGTCCCTCGTAGGGGGTGATGATGCCGATCTGTTCGGGCTTGACGCCCGCCTTCAGGAAGCGCGTCGTAATCTTCTCCACATTGGCCGCCTCGGTGCGATTGAGAAACGATGTGCCCGAGCCGGCAATCTCCTCTTGTCCCTGGGTGACGAGGAAAAACATTGGCCTCTCCGGTTGCGGCCAGGGAAAGTCCAGCTTGAGGCGTCGATCCTCGGCGCACACGCCATTCTGCAGCGATCCCTCGTAGAAGAAGTTCGAGGGAAACTGCGACAGCTCTGGGTGCATGCGATATTGCACTTCGAGGCGAAACGGTCGTATGCCCAGCACCACCAGACGTTCGAACAAACTCTGCGAAAGGCCAGCGCGAGCGGCCTTCTTGCACATGACCACCGGCCCCAGTTGGCAGTGATCGCCGACTAGAATCAGTTGCTTGGCTCCCAGAACCACGGGCACCATGCACTCGGGCTCTGTGGACTGCATGGATTCGTCAATCAAAATGGAAGTAAATTTGATGCGCGACAAGCGGCCATCGCCGGCGCCCACGCAGGTGCAGCAGATGACGTCGGCGGCCTCCAGCAGTTGGTTTTCGGTGCCGCGCTTCAAATTACGGTAGCGCTTCTCATCCGCGGAGCTCAGCTCTCCAGTTTCGTCTTTGAGCTGCTGCAGTTTCTTCAGCTCCGTGTTGGTCTCCATGCTGCGGATCTGATTGTGCAGCGCCAGAAAGCTGACCGGACTGTCGATGGCCTCGCGGCTCTTGGCACAGACGCGTACCACCTTGAGATTGGTGCGATGGATCTTCTCTGTAAGCTGATCGACGGCCGTGTTGCTGGGCGCACACACGAGGACAGTGCCGCCGTGCTGCTTCACCAGCTGGTACACAATGGTGGCAGAGGTGACGGTCTTGCCAGTGCCAGGGGGACCTTGGATAAGGCTCAAGGGTCGCTGCAGGGCATGCTTCACGGCGTACACCTGACTGCGATTTAGGTCCGGCAAGTTGGGGGCGCTGAACAGCTTCGGCTGGGCGCCGCGGAAGAGCACATCATCGTTGGCATCGGGTCGGCCATGGCCCAGCAGGCGCGAGTAAATAAAATTCGACACTGATTGGCGGTCCATCGCAAAGGTGCGGAGGGCGCGCGTCATGCGGTCAAAGGAGGTGCACTTCCAGATAAAGTCCACCGAAAAGTTGCTGGAACACTTGACCGGGGCATTGGTGGATGACTTCAGCTCCAGGCCGATGTCGTCACCAAAATTGTCAGGCACTTTAATCACATGTCCGATCTCGTTCCACGGACTGTACATCTCGCCCACGTACCGGAGACGCAGCTCGTCGCCGTGCATCAGCTTCATGTCCGAGTCCGTTTTGGCCAGGGTGAAGTAGGCGATGGTCTTCTTGTTGAGGCCCACATCCCAGCGCACTTCGATGTTCTCCTGGGTGGCCGACTCCTTCAGCTTCTTGTCGTAGTCGGCCTCAAGGCGCACCAACGGCCCGAATGTCTTCTCGTACTGGTAGCCGTCCTCGTAGCGCAGCAGCACCTGGGAGGGCTCCGAGTCAATGCCAGGCTTCTCCAGATCCTGGAACGTGGCGTCGATGTTGTCCTTCCAGAGCTCCTCCAGCTTGTTGATCTGCGCAGCGGAAATTTGACGTGCGCGCAACTGGCCCTGCTCACTGGGCTGCTTCACCAGCCAGGGCAGAAAGCAGCGATCAGCTATCAGCGGCTTCCACTGGTCCTGATCCCAGTTCATGTCCTTCAGCGAGTTCTGGGCCGCACATGGCTGGCGGCAGAGAAGAACCACCACAGAGTCGGCCTTGGCCGGAATGAAGCCCAGGACAAAGACATTGCGGACGCCGCACGAGTAGCACTCGAGCACGGTCTCGCCCAGGGGCCCGTCGGCATGGAGCGTCACCTCACGATGCTTGGCGCGCACCAGATGATTGATGATGTGGGAGCCGGAGGTGCTGCCACGGCCGTTGCAGAACCACTTCTTGCAGTTGTTGCACATGACCACAGTGGACGGATCATGGATGCCACAGTACTTGCAGGCATGCGGCGGCAGCTCCTTCACAAACGAACCGCCATGCTCGTCGTCCTCCTCCTCGAACTGCAAGTCCCCGAGATCGTTCGTGATGCTGGCCAAACGTGGATGCATCTCTCCAACCGAGCGACGGCGCTGTATAAAGTATATATTGTGCGTGAAAGTGTTAAATATGAAAGATATATGTATAAATTGCAGACATATGTATGTATATATGTATGGAAGTGTATTAAATGTTAGTCAAAGGCCAGAGCCAGCTTTGTGACAGCTGCTGTTGCTGCTAACACACACACACACACACACACACACACATACACATACACATGCGAGACACTCACAGTTATCTCCAACAGCTCGCCCTGGGTCTGGCTCTGTGAGTTCGAGGGCATGGTGAAGTCACGGTAGTCGTACTGGGTCGGCTGCGTGTCGGCACCAGGCAGCAACTCGTTGTCGTCCATATCCAGGAACGACAGCGCCGAGCTGGGCGCATACGTGTCCACGCTCATGACGCGGTCACAGTGGCTGCTGTTCTGTGCAAAATTGTAATTGTGGCGGCGGACACGGTGTTTTCGCCGTGTTTCTGCTTCTGCTTACGCTTCTTCTTCTTGTTCTTCTTACCCTCGCACGCACCGACGACAACGACGACGGGGCCACTCGGTAGGGGCTTGCGCGCTGCTTCCGTGTGGAGTGTGGGTTTTTTGTTTTGTTGGCAGTTTTTTTTTTTTTGCTGCCCACGCGCTGTGGGAAAACCGAAAAACAAAAAAACAAAAAAAAACAAAAAGAGGGAATTGAGCGGAAAGATTTCAAGGTGATGGACCAAAAGGATTTTGCGCGTGAAATAATGCTTGCTCTATTGTCGCGGCGCGTTCAGCGTTCAGCATGCAACACGCCAGAGCCTCTATAAAAGAAGTAAATCAATGCGTTTGTGTTTGCACAATTTCTAAACTTTTTTGTTTCCGAAACGAAAGCGAACAAGTTACGTACGTAATGAAAATAAAATGAAACTATTTCCCAGTTCCCAGCTATAAATTAAAATAAATATGTCAGTTATTTATTTATTTCCGCATGCTGAGTGCAGCCAGCTAGGGATTTTTGGATAAGAATACGGTCTGATTCTCGGAAATATACCGAAATATACCGTCTCATTTTCGAAATATACCGGAAATATACCGATGGAAAATATTAGCTTAGCCCTCTTAACCCCTTTTATTTAAACAGGTGAAAACTGTTCGCAAATGACTAAAAAAACACACCCACGATTTCTTTCACCTAAACTGCGCTAAAATTCATCAAGAAGGATCGTAAATCATATTCCTCGAAAATCGTTATCGTTATGACGAACATTTTGGACGTTTTTTATTGGTCACAAAAAATGAAGACCAATTAAAAAAACGGACTGACCTGAGAAATATACCGAAATATACCGTAAATTTAACGGCGAATTATTCATATTCGTCGATTTTGATATTCGGTTTGCTCTTAACTCGCTACTACAAGACGAGATAATTTTAAGTTCTCATCTTTATTGGATTATTTATAAAATAAAGTTCAAACAAACATTTTCACTATATTTATTTGCTTACATGGCAACTACACGCTAACTACACATTTGCTACATATTAATCGTTAATCGTTCTCTGTCCATGATCAGAAATTATTTTCTTCGATTTTGATATTCAGTTTAAGGTTTAAAGAAATAAAGTCAGAGCATTAAACCTAAGTAGTCATGAAATGAAACGTCATTTGATCCTTTAAATACAAAGGAGCTTCCCAAAATGCGGTAGTAATATGTACAATTCAACGGAATGCATTTTTAATGGCTATTTTGCGAAATTTTGATTAGTTTACATGTATTTCATTACAATCAACTGTACCGACTTTCAAATATTTAACTTTATTTTTCGAATTGATGCCAAAATAACGGCTGTCTGGCCCAATGTAACTGGGGGTAAAAAGAAGAGGTATTGACAATGAGGAAAATTCCCAGCAACATTACATGTTTTTATTAACCTCACCTCACCGCGTTTGATCTGCTGAGAATGGTTAGAAGCCTTGTTAACAGTATGGTTGTTAACAATTGGGGTGCAAAATATGCGCTCTAGATTCTGGGGCCTTTTTCTGTTTTCCTTACCTTTTTTTACCTTGTAAATGGGCATCTTGTATTTTACTTAAAAATCTTCATCGTTTCAAAAATGTATTTTAAAACATGTTGCTGCAGCAACATGGATGTAACCAATTTAGTTTTTACGTTGGCAACATTCAATTTGTATGGCCAGCAACATTCTGCATACCCTAGGGAAAAGAATATTATAGAACTGAGGAAATGTTTGTCATCTAGCTCCAATACATATATGCGGAAACTAGCCAGTCTCTGTTTTAAAGCTATCACAACCAAATTTTGCAGCTTATTTTCTTCTTACAGAGACCAAGAATATGTATTGAGATCGAGATATTTATACAGGACACTAATCAAATGCATGAATAGGTATAAAACATATCAATCTGGAAAAAACTCATTATTAAACACGCTTTAAAACAGCTTTGATATCTTCATATTAAATTAACGAAATAGGGTATACAAATGTCCATACTCAGTTGACAAGCAACGTCTTCAAATACTAGCAATATGTTAGAAGTGACCTTGCAACGGTTTTTCGTGAACCTTTTTTGTTGAAATCTTTTTAGACACAATACAATATATGGGAGTACTTCAAGAGCATATCTTGTGGGAAATTCATTCATCAATGGGATAAAACTATGTGGGAAGAGCTGAAGATTCTATCTAGCTAGTAATATTCGACCGAATATCAAAAACAACGAATAAGTATTATGGAATTTGAATTCGTCAGTATATTTACGGTATATTTTTCAAATGAAACGGTATATTTCTGAGGGTCGAACGGTATATTTTAACGATAAGTCCGCGGCCACACTGCAAGCCAGAGCGGGCTGCTGCGCCGCCCCCAGTGTCCCCCATCGACGCTGCGTGTGCGCGTCTTTTATAAAATACAAGATTTATACGCGGTGCATAAATGAAAACCATATTGTAAATCGAAATTTGTATTGTATTAGGACTTTGGGGTAATAGTGATTAGGGAGTGTGTACAAATCGATTGTCAACCGAAAAAGGACCGTAAACAAACGTTTGTGTAAAACCATAAAGCAAAAAAATTACTCTCAAAGAAAAAGCAAAACAACAAGGTGTATCGGCAGCGCGCGGCATCTTGTCGACAGCGCTAAAGGCAGCGCTGCGTCAGCGAAAGCAATGGAATGGAAACGAAACCAAAGCCATCCACCGTCGTTTCTGTGACCAAGCCAACTGCGACGCCGGCGTCAACGGCGGATTTCTTCGGATGCTGATGGACTAACGATGTTTCGGCGGGGTTGGTGCGGTGATGGTGATGCTGCTGCTGGCGGTGGTATTGGTTTTGGTGCGATGGTGTTGCTTGCTTTCTGTGTAGACGCCCAAAATACCAACTAGTAGATTCGCAAGAGAAACTGTAAAATAACTGCACTCGAATGATGTTTCGAGGTCATCACCTGCTCCTACTCCTACAACTCGTTCTCCGTCCAAGAGCAAACAATTTAATGGTAATGAGCGTATATCCCCCTCTTCCAATGGCCTTGGTTGTCGATGCGTTTCTGTGTGATTCCAATTAGAATATTTGATTGGGAGAGTGTGATGCTAGATAGAGAGAGAGAGAGAACAAGAGCGTGGTGCGGTGAGGTGCTACTGCGGCTGTCATATCGATCCGTATCCGCACTAGAGCACACAGTCTTTGGAGGCAACATAATCCACCGGGGCGGGATTAGGGTTACTCGAACGTGCCGCATCCGACGCCCACGCGCAGCTTTAACTGCGACGCAGGCTCCTGCATTACCGGTCACCGGTAATTAGTCGACAAGGCCGGCAGAGCTGTCGCGTCTCGTTGTGACGGCAACGGCGCTGCCTTCTGATTTTGCCGCAGCTGCAGCGGCGTGAAAGTTCAGACTCATTAAATGCAGCTGCGCCACAGCAGAAGCCCCAGCGCCAATACGCAGTGAAACTTCCATCACAACGGTACATACTGGCAGCAGGCACCGCGGCGGCAGCAGTGCTGTCATGAAATTTCCATAAAAAAGCCAAAAACTAAAGACCAAAAATAAAACGATTATGTAAATCAGATTAAATCCACGATATAATTGACAAATATAACAAAATAATAATACATTTTTCCGTATTCTGCGCGGGAGGAAATTGGTGAAGAAGTCAAGTTATTCAGGAAAACCCTAAGAAGAGAGGAGAAAGTTATTGTGCGAAAAGTTATTTCCAAAGTGACCCCAAAGCAGAGCAGAAAAACAGAAGCTAGATTATAGAATGGACTATTAGTAACTAAGAATTTAACGATACCAAAAAACCATGACATTCTCTGGGACAAGTGAAAGATTTTGGCGTTTAACTTTCAATTTAACCTAAACCGAAACCACAACTGCTTAAAAGCTGCTTTGACAGATGTTTAGAAACTTTTTTCTTTTTTATTATTATTATAATTATTATTTACCATTTTAATAGCTTTTCGGGTCGTGCAAACGTCTTTAAGGGCAAAGCAAATAATTACTTATTTAAATGTATAGGAATATAAAACGGCCAAATTCTGGCGAAAACAAAAGGCTAAATTGGTTACACTGATACCGACAGCAGAGCAATCCATGGCCGCTCTCTCTCCCACTCTCTCGCTCCCCCACTCTCTCTCTCCGTCTTTTGTGCGAGAAAGTGTTTGTAAAATCCACAAAAGATTTAACCATAAACAACAATAATGCTAATGAAACCAAGCGTGAAGCTTTGTAAAGCTCTCTCAATAGTAGTGCGTTTTTGTTTTTACCGTTTCAACATTTATTTTTTAAAGTGCAGCAACAAAAAAAATCAAGCAAAAAAAGGAGCAGCAGCAGATTAAGTGAAAAGTTTTTACTAACAGCCAAACATAAAGTTTGCAACTCTGTCAACCGCAGCGCAACGGCAACGGTAAACTAAGCAGCGGCGTCAGCATCGACGTCTGCCAGCGGTCGCGCTGGCAACAAAATTGAGGTATGTGTCCCTTCCATTCTTATAAGAATCTCATATTCCATATACCCAGCATACATACATATTTACTGTGTGTTCTCTTTCACACACAGGCACACAAACACATGTGTATACTTGTACTGTTTAGTTTGTAATTTTGCCAAATTGTGGACACAGCACGGCCAAAATGTAATGAAAACAGCACAAAATGAAATTTAAAATGTAGTTCAAAGTTTGGACAGCGCGGTTACAGCCAGCCAGGCAGCAGAGTAATGGGCGAGATCAACCATAGAAAATTATTCACAGTGTCAGGGACCAACATAATGGAGAACTTACTCATAAATGGAAAAATATGTTATCTTTGGTGATGAATCTTTTGATACCCTTAAATATCGATTGTTCTTATAAATGTTTCAAATTTTTTTTTGCCTAGAAAAAGACAATATCTTTAAGTTTTCATGTCATCAAGTCATCTGAAATCTTTATATTTAATCAATCCTATTTTCTACTTTAAAAGATCAACCCCTAAATTTAATTCCATTATCCCCGAACTAAAATGCTGTTAAAGTCATCCCTAATATTAAATTTTAAACTCCCCGAAAAACGTGTGGCAACGTGTGAATGATTTTGCAAATTGAAATGAAAATTAACGTTTAGCGAAATGAGAAATGAGAAAAAAGCGAATGGAGACGAAGAAGCAAAGCAAATAACAAGAAGCGACAGCAACGGCAAGAACAGCCATGGCAGCAGGGGAGGGGTAAATTAAAAAAAAAAACACACAAAAAGTGATAAAAATAGACAAATTTCTGCTGATGCGCTCTGGTTGGCGGCGCCAGCGGCAGCGGCAGAGGCAATGGTTGAAAAGTAGGTAAGGTGGGTGGCAAATGGGGGATGGCTGACGCCTGCCTGATGGCTGGGATAGCTGGATAGCAAAACGAGGGTCGCTCCCAGCCATCGGTGGGCAGGGAACGAACGTCAGCACCACGGGAGAGGAAACTGTTGTATGAGCAGACAGTGGCAGTGTCCATGTCCAGGCATTCTTGCTTTCCTTTCAATGCCCATTTCCTATCATGGAGAAAACTTCCGTGGTCCCAAGCCCAGACTCAAGCACTTTCGAGGGTTAGTTATTTTTGGGGCAACACAGCCCCAGCCGTGAAGCGGGGTACCCAAGGGCATGTTGTGTATGCATCCAGAAGGAAGGAAGATTTTTCTTAGGAGTAATCAACCTTAGTGATAATTCAAAGCAAGTAAAGTGAAGTTAATCACAGTTTTTGGGCTGAGAAAAAACACGCTTAAAAGATGACACTCTCAAGGATAGCGTGTATACCCTATAAATTAGCTCCTGGGTGGACACGCTAAGATCTAATCGGAGACGACCCCCCCCCTCTTATATACATATGTCAGAGAGGCGTAAGAGAAAATGTCAAGGGACATCTGTCCAAAAAGGCAGAAACTTTGAAGGATTTTCCATTTGGCCAAAGAGGATGCTGATGTGCTGCCTGTGTGTATTGGCAGATTCCCTCGCACACACAGACACACAAAGTGTTACACGCATAATACACATGCAAATGTCAAAGTTGCCGCCAGGCGACGCGACATGGCTGTCGACGTCCAACCACCATCACCAATCTCACCTACACACAGCCTGCCCCGCCATTCCGCCACTCCGCCAACCTTCGCACCGCCTGTGGCGACGACCATCGGCGAGTTTTAGCGGATTTTGTTTGTGCAGGAATGAAAATCGTTGCTGCTGGCTGCGCTGCTTCTGTATTGGTTTGCTATTGTACCAGGGTATATTTAAGCAGAAGGTAAGGTGCACTGGGAGAGAGAGTGAAAGCCCAAATCTTTTACCATTACAGTCAAGAGAGATATCGACACTTCGAATATAAGTATTACCTCCCAGACTTGGGTTGCAATACAGGGGGCATTAACTGCTACCTTATTATATGTATATACCTTGATATTGTTTGCGTTTTTGTGTGTTGTGTCGTGTTGTCTCTTCTGCCATTACACGCGTGTTCTCTTCTAGTTGGTTGGGGAGGGCTAAGACTGTTGTGGGGTGGGTGGGTGTTGGGGATTGTGGAACTTTGAAAACTCACCACCATCCTTACCTAGCCCCCCCCCCCCCCCCCCCCTCGCTCTCTTCAGCTTTGCTCTCCCTCTGCCACCACTCTTTCACTCTTTCTGCCTCTCTCGCTACACGTGTTTGCGTGTATTTGTAGTCAGTTTTTTGTATTGCATATTTTTTGCAGGCACTTAAAATTTGGAGCATTCTTACTGCCTGCTGCGCGGTCTGTTGTTGGTTGATGAAGAAACTGCAGAGAAGGAAAATGAGACAAAAAATAAAAAGACAAAAATTGCTGCGCTACTTCACACGTCTGTCGCTCTAGCTCTCTGTCAGTGTTCAAACTCTCTTTGCCGTGTCTCTTCATCTCCCCCGTGGCTATAAGCGGCAGGAATTACAACAAGAAGCGAACAGCAGCCGCGATTACCGAAACTTTTGATACCCTCTGCTGATCTACAACTTTGTCTCTTACCTGCAAGTGCAAACTCTTGCTCAAAACCATCAGACTCTCGAAGACAGAGAAGTACCCTCTCGGAATAACAATGGGCCACAGAATAGCGGAACATGGCAAAGGCTTCGTCTCTTTCTCTCTCTTCTCTTTTCCGTGCAGCTTTAAGAAGCTTTGCACTTGTTCTCGGGCGTTTGTGTGTATGGGTGTTGCTGCTTATTTGTGTGTGTTGATTCCTTCTTTGTTTATGCCCAGACACATTCTCAATGCACACGCAACGCACCAACGCACGCACGTACGCACCCAGCACCCAGCTCCCTCCACACTCCACTCAGCCGCTATTCTCTTCTCTCCACGCTCCTTCTCGCTCTCTTTTGTTTTTGCCATTGTGTTTTCATTGCCTAATGCAGCCGGCAAACACTCTCTCGCGTGAGAGTGTGTTCACACTTGCACTTGTATATGTATGTATGTACGTATGATATTTACCGGAAGATATACTGAATGATTGGATTGACAAGGCATTTACATTCGTTCATTTAAATACGCGTAGAGTATACATAGCTCTACAGAATGTTTCACTGTATTCACTGCTTAGTCACTTGCACAAGCAGTAGCCAGTGGAAGCGGCTGTAAAACGCTCAAGAATTTGCTTTTGAAAGGAATTTTCATTAAATTTTTGCATAGAATACAGAAAAACTAATAAATTATAGGATACATTTGCAAAGGAAGGACAAGCAGCAATGAGCTTATAGGAATTTCGAAACCCTGTTACATTTCCTGCCCAGCAAAGCTTAATAAAATATACAGCTTTCGAATGCTTTCTGAACACGGAAGAAGTTTTCAGTTCGATCAATGAATGAATTGGAAGCTGTTGGAAAATCTGTAAACTTCTGGACAAAACTTTTTTTTCGTTTGCTTCTCTACCAGATAAAAGGAAATAAAATAAATATATACATATAACAGTTTCGGGCAGCAGCAGCATTCTTTGCATACATATTTCCTCCGGTTTTCGGGGACTTTTCTGTTGTTTTCTTCCTTTTGCCCAGCCGTTCTCCCCTCCGTTTTGGTGCGGCCAAGAGTTTTCATGCTTTTGCCACATTCCATTAGATGTAATAAATACCAAAATGCAACAAAAAGAAATTAAAAATGCAAAGGAAAATGAAAATGAAAAGTGAAAGAGAAAGGAATGGAATGGAATGGCAAAGAGAGAGTAGGAGCTCTCTCACTCTCAAAAAGACCACTCCGAAATTGGTTAAAAATATCAAATGAGCAAACATTCATCCTTTTGGCCTTTTCTCCCGTGCCGTCTCGTAACCTTCCATCAGAAGAGAAAGCAAACAAGAACAAAGCTTCTACCTCCTCCCTCCTCCAATTGGAATTTTCAGAGTAGCCTTGACATTATTTTATGCGCGAAAACAGGCGCTTGAAGTACAGTCGGTACAAGTGGAATCCCTACGAATCCGAGGAGCACTGCCGCATGATGCGCGAAATATCTTTGGCAAGATCCACAGAAGAAGCCACACGGAAGGTCTACCTAGGCGGAATCCTTGGACTTCAAAGAGGAAGAACCTGTCCATTGGTTCTCTGTGGAAGAAGGACCTCAGAACCTTTTATGAACTGAAACGGAGATCAACTTTGCGTCTAAAAAGCTTCTAAGCGAAATACTCATATTTGTCGGCACTTTTCGATAGATTTTCGAATGAATAAACTGAGAAAAAATCTCCTTAGATAAAAAAAACATTTAAAGTCTTTAAAGTCTATAATAAAATTCTGTAATTCGAATGTCTAGAGTATCTGTAAGTGACAGAAGCTGATCTGTTCCGCTTTTGAGGCTTCATCCGTAATGCTCCTGCTCGTGACGAGCATCATCGTTTTGTGGTATATCGTTCCATTAAAATGGTATGTCATCCGTTGCCATAAAACTTTCTTTTTGTTTTTCCTGCCGCAACTTTTGCCTTGCTTCTCTCCTTCCTTTCTGCTTGTCCTGTTGCCTGGTGGCATGGCATTGGCCTTTTAGTTAGCACGACGGCCGCTGTCTTTCCTCTGCTCTCCTGATGGCATTGTTTTTATGACGCGCAACCCCAACCCCATACAAAACGAAAAAGGACAAAAGGATATGTGCGTGTGTGTGTGGCACAACTTTGTTGGGGGCTTAGCTTTTTTGTTTGATTTGGATTCTGATTTTGATCCTATTCCATATCACATCCTCCATTAAGCACTCGAGAGAGAGAGAGAGAGAAAGAGAGGGAAGGCTTTTCTCCTCTCTCTTCTGTTTTTTGTCTGTCAATCTGCTGTCTGATAATGACAGGCTGTCTGTCGTATGCAGATAGATCTAGGCTGTGATTCATCCGAGGCGCGGGAAAGCAGCTTGAGGTGCGAGGAAATTGATGGGAATTTCCTGTTTGCGAAAAATGATGTCGGTTCTTCCTTTCAACGCGAATGTTTCCGATGTTTACGCTCGTACTACTCACTCTCTCTCTCACTCTCTCTCTCTGTTTTTGCGTGCCACTCGCTACGAATGTGGCCGTTCGTTTATGGTTCCTACGAACACTCTGAATGCACTCTGTTTTTCATAATTATACACAGCCTAAATAGCCCATGTGCCCCATTAGTAGGGGCAAGGGGATGATTACACATTAGCGGCTCGTTGGCCAAATCTTTGCCTACCCCGCCTACCACCGCCCACTCCGTCCACCGAGGGAGTGTGTGTTGTTTACCTTTCTCAAAGCGCAGGCTCCACATTTTTATCATGCCTCCACATGAGGCACATGACCCGCCCCTGTAATAAACCGCCAAAACGTCGTCATTTCTATTATATATATTTTTTTTCCTGCTTTGTGGTTAAAGCAAGTCACGCAAGAACCTAAAAACTACGGCGGGGAGCGAGGAGCGAGGAGCGAGGCGAAAGAACTACGAATGAGGGGCTGCAGACCGAAGGGGGGAGGGGTGGGGGGATGGCAAGTGCAATTAACCCCAAAGGTAAGTAGGAGGAAAAATGCAATTTTCTTGGTTCCTTTTGCTCTGCAGAAATTGAAGCATTTAATGGCTGTAAAACACCATTCCAGCACGTAATTTAAGAAAAGCTCTTGAAAATATCGTAATAATATGGTTCTTGGGGATTGCTCCTTCACCATCTCCTTGGATGTCCTTTATGCGTTTATGAATTCCTCACCAAATCCTTGTCAATGGCCTCGATCTCCTCCTTTGTGGCACAGCACTGCCATGGCTCCTTCACGCAAAAGTGGTAGATGGTCTCGTGGAAATAGTTCTCAGCCGGCATGACGATGATTGTGGGGAACATGGTCTGATTGCAGGCATCGGGAAAGCCCATCAGCTGCAGCACGTAGCCGCTGTGCTGCCAGTATCGTGTGCAGTTCTTGCCCATTATGGGATCCTCGCCATGCGACTCCTTGGGGAACTTGTTGGCCGTGGAGAAATGCAGAGCCGGCTGGTTGCTGTAGATGTCCATGAAGCGTCCGGACGGACAGTGCAGGAAGCGTCCCAGGTATCGTGTGTTCAGATTTGTGGGGCCCTTGGACAAGGCATACGTCACGTGGTAGCCGGGCACGGGCATGTCCTTGAACTGCCGCACACGATCCCCCATAAAGACGGGCAGACGTAGATCGTAGACGGAGTTATCCACGGACTTGTAGCCGCCCGTGGGCAGGAGATTATCGTCGGTGCTCGTTTCGATTATCTCGTTGCCTTCGATGAAGAACCGATGCTCGAAGAGGCCCTCAACGCCGGCCTTGTGACCCGCCAGATTGAAGTACGTGTGATTGCAAATGTCCACCGGAGTGGACTTGTCCGATGTGGCCTCGATCCGGATGAACAGACGACTCTCGTTGTCGATGGTAAAGTGAATCATGACGACCAGGCGGCCGGGAAAGCCCTCGTGTCCATCGTTCGAGACATGTCTCAGTGTGATCCCATCCGGACGCATCATATGCAGGTCCCAGATGACTTTATCGAAGCCAATAAACCCACCCTCGATGTTGTGCTTCTGGTCGAGATTTTTCGAAACGATCACACGGTGCTCCTCCAAGATGAACTCTCCGTTGCTGACCAGCCCGGCCACACGGCCCAGAGTGCAGCCAAACTTCAAGTCCTGGTGCTTCAGATACCCGGCGACATCATCGAAGCCCAGGACCACGTCCGCCATCTGGTGGTAGGCATCGGGCACTCGAAGACTCTGAATGGTGGCCCCCAACGTGATGATACGCACGGACATATGGTTCGTATTCGACATCGTATAGCGGCGTATCACTTGGGCCTTGTTCGTAAACGGATTTGTGGCAATGCCGAAAATGTCTTCAACAATTTTAACCATGATTTTATTGAGACGAGACTTTTTCCATTGAAACTTGTAATTTTTCAAATTCAAATTTAATTTTATTTGAGTAGAATTTTTGCATTTGAATTATAGATCCAAGGTCACACTTCGGTGTATAAAGTTCGCATAAGCGAATGGAAGCACGAACTATAGAACCACAAGAAGATATCGACATTCTCTTGAGGGAGATATGCTCTGGATTCCACTAGGACCATGGCTTTGTACACTTTGTCGAACTCAAACAAGAATCACAGAATAAATTTTCGAGGCATGAATGGACTCGCTTTATCGTTCTTTCCAATGCAAAGTTCGTGCCGTATCACCATTGCAATGAATAAACGAATGATTGATTAAATGAATGATTCATTGTAATTGAGTTATCGTCCAATCTACAGATGTTAATGGCACCCATCAGGGGTTATTTGTTTGCTCCACGGGTTCCCTCGTCGTGTTGTTGAGTGCATGCCACCTCTTTGTACGGCGTGGACTTGCAACGGAGTGGCGTCGAATGGCGTTATCTTATCGCCAGGCCCCACAGGCCGCAAGCCAAATAAGAAGCAAGGAATCTATGTTTGATTTACGCGTAAACGAGTGCCAAACAGAAACAGAAACAGAGAAAGTAATCAAAACAAACAACAAAAAAACTCTTTGGACTTTGGTAGATAATTATACGGGCAATAAGCGGGCCATGATTACATCATTTATAATGGCAATTATATCGTTTATTTATTATTGCTAGAATATTAGAATATTTTGTGGGAATATGAGGTCTGGCTTCTCATTAACCATCATCAGGGTTGTGAAACATCAAAGACCTCTTTCGGAGGTCATCGACAGCCTTTGAACACTTTGCAACACTATTCCTAACAACACTATTCCTAACAACACTATTCCTAACAACACTATTCCTAACAACACTATTCCTAACAACACTATTCCTAACAACACTATTCCTAACAACACTATTCCTAACAACACTATTCCTGCCTTAATCGGATAAATAACATCATTCGCGAATATTTATGGATTTGTAAATATTCCCTGAAGGAATTCCCTGAATACTCCCCAAAACGTTCATAAAGGTTCCACTAATTGTGCGTTCTATTGATCCGAAGCTTCATTCTTTGATGAATTACTGTGGAAGGTGCTTTTCTCATGGGGAATTCCTTTATCCCAGAGTTCATTTCCTTTAAATTCGATTTTAAAGAAGTCTTTGCCGCCTATCTCTGACCAGCGACCAGCAGCTGCATTGCGTTTGGACCTGCGTTTTGCCTGCCTCTGATGGCCGTCTAATGGTTCTCCCTTTTGAATAGAGAAAATTGTTCAGCCTCGCTCGCACCTGCCCCCCCTGATGGGGGCCATGTCATGGCTCATTGGCCACACGGCAAACGGAGTGCAAAATGAATGCAAAATCATGGCCAAAGCCCACCCTCCCGCCCCCATTTATTGTTCGTTGGGCCAAAGTTCATATCGAAGGCCAATGCCAATGGTTTTTATGGCCTTTGGAACTTTTAGTTGATTCACCTTTCATATTTCGCCTAGACATGCTTGGCTTTCGCAAAACCGTTTCCCTATCTGATAAGAAAAGTCAGTTCTAAAAGAAAATGTTTTATAGGCATTGCCTGTCACTTGAGGCAGAGTCGAGCGTTGGTTGAAATCATTTTTTACATTTTAGACGGAGGTTGATCTATGATTTTGTGGTGCCTTTCGTTTAGGGGAATGTATTTTAGTGGTACGCAAAAGAATACTCTAAATATTATCAGAAAAACGGTAGAAAATACCAGGAAATACTATAAAATACCAGAAATTTCAAAATAATCTAAAAAAATGCTTGCTAGAATTCCAAAATACTAAAAACTATACCAGAACATACCAAGAAATAATCCCCAATATCTTTTAAGTTGTGGCACGAATCTTCCCAGATACCAAATACCAGATCATGGAATGGAATTCTGTTGCATCATTCAAGAGTCCATGAAATGCCACGCATAAACATATGTACAACAGATTTTCAAGAGTCCGCTAAAAGGTTTAGCCATCGAAAGATTAAAGAGCTTTAATTTTTTTTTTTGTCTTGCACGAAAGTCATGTGCATATTGTACTATTTTTGGACTTATCGCTTAGTCGTATTACTTTACTTCACTAATAACACAGATTATACGAGTGTATATAGGGGGCTGAGAGAGAGAGCTTTTACCTCTGGATCTATATGTATTAACGGAAACATGTGCAAAATCGAATGCTCTTTTCTTTGCGTGTTTATATTGAGTGTCGTGTGATTCACCGGAAAATTAAACGCTTTCAGATGATTATCCGATGCCCGATGGTGGCCTCAATGGCATCATTAGCTACAGATACACACACACGTATGTACATATGTAAATTATTCTGCTTTATGTGGTGTTTCCCCCTCTCGGCTCTGGCTTTTCCCCTGTCGATTATGCTTTGCTTTGCATTCAATCGAATGGGGGACCTCAACCTCTGCCTTGTTTGCATATTTGTGCCTGGATTCCATGAGATTGAAGCACTGAAACATTCCTAGGGCTGCATTTGTGACTTTGATGAGGCTACACCTTGGAACACTCATAATTAAAAGCAGTAGCACTGATTTAATGCACAGCTCAGTCTGGTGTGGAGTCTTGTCGTATATTTGGAATCGATCTTCGTGTAGAGTGTTTTTATTGTATTAATCATTTACAATTTATAGTCACATCTTAGAGAGGCGGAAAAGGTATACACTCTAGCCCCCAAGAGCTGCTTCTGTTTGTCCATATATCTGTGACTAGTGGCTTAACTGTAAGTAGACTTTTCAGCAATAGGATAGTAGACCCAGGGCCGGATCCGCCCTTAACAGGGTCCTAGGCAACCATCTATTTGGAGCCCTTCTTTTTCTCACGCCCTGTCTTCTGATTCAAGGCAAAGTACGAGTACAACCAACATGTCTAGTCGCAGAAATATAGTTGGGCAGAACAATTTGTAATCATTAATCCGAAGAGCTATTCCTGGTTTTGGAAATACATCGGCTAATTGATCTCTCACTAGAATCTTAGACAAATGACTATAACTTTTCTGTACATCAGTTTATCTAGAGTTCACGTAGATTTGGGACTTGCTCCAATTCTCTAGAATGATTGGAAACTTCCACTTCGGGAGCATTTCCGTCCTCAGGTTATAATTCTTCCTCGATATCATCGAACATTAAACAAAATTCGAGTTTTTGCATTTCATTCGCCATACACGTCGCCTCATAGCGAGTGTATTTTGTGACTCGTCATCGGCAATGCTTTCTAGAGCCGCTAGTATGCGCGTTCGTCGCATTCGAAGCGTGTTTCCAGCGTGTTTTTGATAATCAAAGCAAAGTTTTCTCATTGTTAAACTTTGCAACATGTTCTCCAATCAAATTAGGGGAATGCGCGGAGCCGGGCTCAGAATTCTGGCTGATACTTTCCAGACATGTTCGATGCCTTGTCGTAGGATTGTCCTCTACAATTTTCGATACCCAAAACCACAGTCTTCAGTAATAAACTTTAAAGTTTGATTCGTGTGTATGTCCTTCCAATTGAAGAAAAGCAATAAATCTTTGAACATTGTCGCTGTTTACTGGGCCCCTTTGTCCCCTTAGCAACCCTATAACCGCCCCTACCTTTATCTTTAAACTATAGATTTATTGGTTTTAAAAATTGTTTAAGAGAGAAACGAAAAACCTTTTCCTTTCTTCCTGCCTTTAACGTTTTCCATGAATATCTCTCTTCGACAGATCTAGAGATCTATCTCTGTGTATTCCATTAGTCCTGCTGTGTCCTATATCTGGTGTTAGTTTTCTTTCAATTGATCTAACCATTTTCTTAAACTTAGATTTAATCTTGCAAACTCTTTGATCTTATATTTCATATCCCTTATTCTCTTTTTTTGATTGGATTTGCAGATGCCTGGACTTGTGGTCTTCAGACGTCGCTGGTCTGTCGGCTCCGATGATCTCGTGGTGCCTGGAGCATTTCTCTTGACGATACATTTTATATGGTACGCAGATCATCTCTTCACTTCTATATATTTATATATCACTTATATATCTCTCCATTTTTCTCTTTATATATATTTTTTTTCCGAATCCTCTCATTCTTCGTGTTAATGTGACAGTTTTGTGATTGTTAGCGTCTCGTTGGTTATATTTGATTATAATACACGAATTTTAAGCATAAAACTATTGTTCTATCATCTAATAGGCTACTTGCTAATACTATTTTGTAAGTATTACAAAAATCCCCCTTCACTAGACCCAAAACTGGCCCATTGACTCATTTGTCGACGTTTCTTTGTTGCAGTTTCAATATGCGTAGAAATAGGCATCTGTGTGATCTCGATGCGTGGCAGCATTCTGGATGCCGAGGCGCGTAATTCTATCAATATATGGATATATCTCAAGAGTTGTAAGTATTCAAGGAACACAAACCAAGACAAGAAACCTATGTATCATTTTTGTCTTCCTTCCGACTTCCCTTTTGTAGTGGTGATATTATTTGATATCGCCTGGCTGACGGTCGGCTCGGTTTGGTTGGGCCACTATTATGCCACATCGCCCATTGATGATCCCAAAAAGGTTTATGTCGGTGAGTGCCTGAGGGGTAATTTATTGACAAACAAAATCATTGAAATTAGTCTTGAAAAATGTTCTGGAAGATGAAGATGTATTTGAAATCAAAGCCAAAATGTTTGTACAATCGCAAGGATGGGAAATTTCAACAGCGAGTGAATATCACTCGTTGCTTTGCTAACGAATGTATCTGTTCATTTATGTACTTCTTGAATTTCCATCTGCAGCCATCATCATTTGCAATTGGGCCCTGGTCTTGATCACATTGATCACCATCTGGTGCACCTTTGATGCCGCCGGCCGTTCGTGGGTGAAGATGAAGAAGTACCAGCGTTCGATGCGCGAAACAGAGTCGCGCTTCAACTACAAGCGCAGCAATAGCATGAACCGCAACTGGCGACAGAGGTGAGTACATACCTTCCTTATGGAATCGAAGTCTCATTGAACACCTCTTGTATTCCATCATTGACAGAAAAGTGATGCGCGCCTATCAGGATAGCTGGGATCATCGCTGTCGTTTGCTCTTCTGCTGCATGGGCTCAACGGAGCGTAATCGCAACTCGTTCACGGATATTGCCCGCCTGTTGAGCGACTTTTTTCGGGAACTCGATGTGGTGCCCTCGGATGTGGTGGCCGGCCTGGTGCTGTTGCGAAAGTTCCAGCGTCTGGAGCGCGAGGCGATTGTGAGGCAGCGAAAGAACGGCACCTACGAGTTCCTAAGCGGTGTACCCATCACGGAGCGGACACAGTTCCTAGCACTCAACGATGCCAAAAACTATGACTTCTTTCAGACGGTCATCCACTATATGTACTTTGCCCAGGGCGCCTACGGCTGGCCCATGTACGTGATCATCAATCGCACTAAAATGTGGCATCTATTGCCCGAACTGAAGTGAGTTGTATACTCTTTTGTGAAACACTAGGGGGCAGGCCGGCCTGATCTGCTAATTTCGGGAATGCGGTGGGGCCTCTCGGTCGGTAAAATGAGTTTAATGCCACTGGGATCCAAGCGGAATGTAGCACTAGGGCACTATACTATACCCTTATCTGGAAAGAGTGGCACGCGTCATGTGGCATTTCTCCTCGGTCGGTGGAATCTTTCGCGGAAATGTGGCTTACACAAGGGTTTCCAATGGAATAAAATATGACGAGAATACTCTTAAATGGAAGTACTTTATGGATATAAAATACTAAAAAGTATCCGAAAGACTGTCTCTGGGCGTATACTTCTGAAACATCAGAGAACTGTGGGCTGTGAGCCTCCCCGACTCGCCATTATAGGGGGCTTTTGTCCCGAAATGTCGAAAGTTTTATGTTCCAGGGTTTTCTTGTACATAGCCTTTCTTTTCGTCCTTTTCGATTACTCATTTCTCATCATTATTGTGTGTTTGCAGATGCTTTGGCTGCTGTTGTGGCAGTGGCGATGACACGGATGTCATTCAGGACAACTGCTGCCTGTGCAACTATGCCGCACTGAAGAAAACCCTCCAGCTGGGCGACATCGACATCGTATATGCCACCTATCATGTGGATGTGGGGGAGACGCCGTTCTTTGTGGCCATCGACTATACACAGCGGTCGATTGTGATCAGCATCAGGGGTACGCTGAGCATGAAGGATATACTCACCGATCTGAATGCCGAGGCTGAGGTGCTGCCGCTGCAGCCGCCGCGTGACGATTGGCTGGGGCACAAGGGCATGGTCCAGACGGCCATTTACATACGGAACAAACTGCTCGAGGAGAATCTCATTGAGCGGGCACTGCAGCGCAACACAGAGCGGCAGACGCACACGTTCGATCTGGTGTTGGTGGGGCACTCGCTGGGCGCTGGGACGGCTGCCATTCTGGCGATACTGCTCAAGCCAGAGCATCCGACGTTGCAGTGTTTTAGCTATTCACCGCCTGGGGGTTTGCTCAGGTGGGGACTAGAAATATCTTTTTCATTTGGCTGTGGCCTTAATTGTAATTGCATTTTTCAGTATGCCTGCCGTTGAGTACTCGAAATCGTTCATCACTTCGGTGGTGCTTGGGAAGGATGTGGTGCCGCGCATTGGCCTCAATCAAATGGAAGCCCTGCGTGCGGATCTCATCAATGCCATTCAGCGTAGTGTGGACCCCAAGGTAGGAGCAGTATTATCTCCCTCTTAACGTGATTTAAACCCCTGTTGTGCGCCGTTTTTTCGCAGTGGAAAACCATTTCCTGTTCGGTAATTTGCTGTGGCTGCGGACCAGAGCCCACGTCTGTGGTGAATATGTCCGGCCAGGACACGCACATCAATCAGTACCAGGAGGTAATCCATCCACCCATCGAATGCCCCCCTCCCCTCGCTCAAGAGAATCGAATAATCAATTTGGCGATCAATATTTTTGCAGGAGCGTGGAACGGCCCGTTCGACCAGCGCCCATCCGACGGACAGCTCAATAGCTTTAACACTCCATCAGCCCTTATATCCGCCCGGTCGCATCATACACATAGTGCGGCATCATCCCAAGCCCGATGAGTGAGTAGCTCCCGCTTTGTTGGCCCTGCAGCCTGTCCGTTGATAGCGGCCCTAAATTTAGATGCGGACGCGGACGCTGACGCATCTGTTTCCTTCTCCAACCCCCACTGAGCCCCACTCTGATCCCAGGCGGACTGAACCGAACCGAACCGATCCCCTTGTTATATTTTGATTTGCTTTCGTATCGTTGTTGTTTCATTTGATTTGAGATCCGCTTCTTGAAGGTCGCGACGAGCCCCATTTCGCTAATACGCTAATTGCTGTGTGATAATGGGCCGCGGAAACGGCATCGGCCTTATCACCGCAGTTCAATGCTGGAGAGATCATCGCTCAAGCTGCGATCTGAGTCACCTCTTCCCCATGACGTCAGCTCGCGGGTGTCTCGTAAAACATGTGAAACGAAAGTTTGCTTTGGAGCTTGATAGATAGACTTGTTTTATTTATTTATTAAAATTGCAAACCACGATAAATCCTAGCCAGAGCCACAAGTCGCTCAGGTTGGAAATAGATTGATAATCTTACGGAACAAATATTCGGCAGGCTTCTGGAACCATCCTCTGCACCCTCTGCGACCTATCCTATACGTGACTGTATGTTATAGCATCCCATTCAGTCGTAGATAGTGATATTTCCTAGTCTTGGAGCTGTGTAACTTTTACAATTCTCAGCGGTTGATGAGTATAAATGTCTCTCAGTATATGCTCCTGAGTCCCTTCATTCACTCGAATCAATTCGTGCTTCTTTGCTTTAATGTTGTGCCTACGAGTCTTACGTGGGCGCACACATTCCCTCAACCTCTACCGGCATGGCATTCTAGTTATAGAATGCTCCCAAAAGAGCGTGTAAGTTTGTAGTTTGAGGATCAAACCAGCGCATTTTGTGACCCCTAAGGCAACCCAGCCTCCAATTGAATGCCTATCCATGGCATGGCATCCATGGGCAAAGAGTACGACAGAAACCTGTTAAACGAACAATGGGCCCTGCCGCCCCAACAAAAGCTTCTCATTTGTCCCATTTTTTCTTGTTTTGTGCTCAGTTATTGCATATTTTGGCTGTTGAACTTTGTTTTGTTTCGTTTGTGCCCCACTCCTGTCCCAAAACTTCCAAACAAAAAATACAACAAAAGAAAAGGAAAAGAAAAAACTAGAAAATAATGTACGAAAAATACTCATATCTTTCAGGCAAAAATACGACAGTGGTTGGAGGTAGGCACACAATAACACTACACTACACACACACACACGCACACACGAAACATGCCACATGCCACATGCATCCACAAACTTCATAGATACAAAGTGCATCCTTTGCATCCTGTGCATCCTATGCATCCCTCCATGCAACCAACAGAATGAACAGAAACCGAAAGAGGAGCTTGAGCAGTGCACTACAGTAACTTGTCTCTCTTTCTCTCTCTTCCTCCTTATCTCTTTCTGTATATGTCTATGCCACTCTTGCTCGTGTTCGTTCTATTACACACACACACACACACACACACACGTACACACGTACACACGCACACCCACACATGTACCAACACATACATACAGTTTCTCTCTCTGTCTAGTATTTTCGTTGTTGAATTTAGTGGGAATCCCCCTCCCAACTTCAGAGATCTCCTAGTCATCTTCTGTTTTCCTTAGTGCATGAATGAAACAAAAAGTTAATCGATGCATGCATCATTCCTTACCCTTGCTCCTTATAAAGTGTCTCTATAAGTGTTTCTCTCTCTCTCCCAGCTTGGCTTAGCCTGGAAATACTTTTTCCTTATATATACCCCAATATACCAATACCCCATGTGCATGCCAAGAAACCCCAGCATCAAGTTCTAATTTAAACTCTATACTAGAAAAGTAGACTGAATTTAGCCATAGCCACATATTATCCAAATATACAATATATCCAGATACTATTTAACGAATGTGTTTTATTAATGATGTGCTTGAAATATTTTACAGAAATGTGCTAAAGAGTCGAGAGCCCGTATACCAGGCTATTTGGGCCGATTCCACGGATTTTGATGAGGTCCTCATATCACCGGTAATGCTGCAGGATCATATGCCTGACAAGGTTCTGGCTGCACTCAAGAAGGTAATTTCGGAGTTCGACGATGAGCGCACCTCCTCCGTGCACAGCTATTCAACAGCCAGTTGATCGGATGGATCAATGCCAATGCCCCCTCCCGAGGAATGAATTGAATAGACTTTTGATGATTACTACCAACCACCACCTTCCCGTCGTCGTGTTGTCCTATAGCGTATATAGCCTCTAAAATGTATAGTACATGAAGCACCGATCTAGTTAGTTAGCTCGACTGTTGTTGTATTTTTTTTTTTTTGCCTTAGTCTTGTGGTAAGGTCGAAAAGCGTTCGCTGCCCATTACCGAACACCCAAGAAAAACCTCAAGAAACCACTTGAAAAACAAGCCAAACGAACACTTCGGCCCACATATATCATGACAAACTCACAAACATATCTATTTAATGCCTATCTATATGTACAATATGTTCAATTATTTTATAATGCTGTCTAGTCGTAAGGCCGCTTATCGCTTATAATTTGTATGAATTTTGTTCGGCACTTGATTTTGTTTGTATTAATTTATTGATTTTTGCTTGTCGATAGTTAAGAACTTATTCTTTGTTGTTCCTTTTGATACTACAAGTATGTATATATGTATGTCCAAGAAATAGAAGAGGAGGAGCCAGATTACTTAGCCAAAACTAAACAAAGCACTTGAACCCCTGTCCAATCTATTGTATTTATCGATGGTTGAAAGGGCAGGCATTGCCAATGGAGTTAATCCTAAGTTATAGTACATAATAGTACATGAATATTCGTTTTTGTACAACTCAATTATCTCTTAAGTTTAAAAACCTGTAATTTGCATTTCTTTGCGTTTTTCTTTATCTCAGTCGATGTTGGTTTTTGTCTTTTTCTTTGTTTTTGGTATGACGAATATACACACATTTGTATGAAAAATATTTATTTTATTTGGGTATGGAGTGCACTCGCTACTCGCTGAAACTCAACGAATGAGTACCTGTTTTGAAGTTTTAGGAATTCGAAATTGTTTTTATTTTAAATTATTATTTGTATCTGCTGAAAGAACATGTGGATACGCAAGAGACGAGCACAATAAACAGTAATTTATGCTAGGAATAATTTTCTAATGTTTTTATTTGATTTCATTCTTTCGTATTTGATTTGGTAAGTTAATTGAGTTCTCAATCCTTCATTATGCTTTTACCACACTGAATACCACCAATTGAATCACCCAAAAATCACACACACAACAACCCACACATACCCACAGAAACATCTGCTGCATGGGAATGTTAGTAATTGTCGTAAAGCTTTTGAATGGCCAAAAAACAAAAGAAAAGTATACAAATATACTCATATATGCATCTCCGCTACGGTTGTCTTGGGAAGAGGTCTTAGCCATTAGATGATGTGTGCGCTAGCTAGTTGCTAGGTGAGAGAGTAGTGGATCCAGTCTGTAGGTATGCCCCGAATTCCCTGCCCCGCCATGGCCCCACCCCCCGCCCGCCCCTTAGCTGATCTGATCGGATCGGATCGGATCAGAGTATTTATTATATGTAGGTAAATCTACTTGTATCTGACGAACTGTTGCTGTATTCAACGATGAACTTAATTATGTTTGCTTTTTCGTTTGCTTTTTTTCGACATCGATGTGTCTGTGTGTGTGAAATTGAACCGATAAACGATAACCGATAACAAAATACCATTTGATTTTGTATGTGACCAAACCGAATCGATGATTGATGTGCACAGGTCGTGTCTTGTAGAGATCGTACCGTAAAGGCATGTACAACTCGTAAACGTAATGAAAACACGACAATAACTACAACTACAACTACAACAACAACAATTACAACAACAACTACGACAACACAAAATACAGATACCAGGTACAACCGCCCGTCATCTATGTACTTCTAAAATCTACTAAAAACAAAATTATCATTAAAAAGACAACAAACTTTTCCATTTTGCTCTCGTTAAAAGTAAACAAATCCAAACACAAATTCTTAATATATCCCGAATTACAAGTCTCTATCTCTCTCTCTCTCTCTCTCTATATATATATATATATATAGATGTATACTATATATGTTTCGCTCCCGCTCTCAACCTAACCTTCAAATAAGAAAAACCTATCCATTTTGTAAAACTCTCTAAACATAAATTGAACTCGATGTCTACTATGTACAAGAAAAAGCCAATCTCGATATTGTGTCCTGCACCGATAAGCTCCTAGCACTTCACCCCCCCTCCCCCCAAATTTACGATCCATTTAGCAACTGTACTCTAATCCCCGCCCCCCCCATAACCACCTATACACACCACTTCAGATTCTTACTTATTTTCAACCAACAATGCAAGGCTTGGCTGTCCTATCGAACATTTTGACGTAACTGTACTTACTCGCTATGCCACTGCATCTGCATCTGCACCAGTCTCTCGCTCGATCCAGCTACTACTACACTCTCATCTGTCCAACTGTACATACATATACACGCATCCCCTATCCACATCTACTCGTCTGTTTTCCGCATACATACATACATATATGTTTAACTACAAGCTGTATAAATCAGGATTGATAATCAATTTTTGTAAGAAAACAAACATAGGCTTAAGATTAACATTTACTTAATATCAGTACACTCACCTGGTATCTCTTGCTGCTCCTTTCCTCTCCCCCTCTCACACACACTCTCTTCTCTCGCTAGGTTGTAACAACGAGTGGGCCACGAAAACCATTACGCCAGACCTCGAATGCATTCTCCACCACATCCAATGAAGGCCAAGATACGGATCAGGAGCCGCCCAAGCTGAGTGGTCACGACAATGAGACCGAAGTGAAGCCGGATCAGGGCCAGACCATCTCGCACCAATCGCAGATGCAGACGCAGACGCAGACACTGCACTGCAAGCGTCCATCGCAAAGTTCCTACACGAACCTGAGCAACTGCCTTCTGCTGACGCCGACGGCTCAGCACAAGCTCTGCCTGGAGACGTCCTTTACCAATGGTTCAGCCAAGGAGCAGCTCCAGGCTCAGCAGCAGCGAATCATATCCGCTGTGGGTGGCGGCAGCAAGGCCTCCTCCATAGCGGGCAGCATCTTTGGACGCAGCCAGATGAGCAACAACACAACCACACCGTACGACATATCAAGCGCCCTGGATGACAGCATCACCACGGTGGCCATGCGCCAGAGTCCATCGCTGATGAGTGAGACGGCCACGGTGATTGTGAATGCGGAGAACGAGAGGGCAGTGCCACGGCTGAAAGCGGTGGCCTTCGACATGGCACTGACACCGCCGCCCTCGCTGCCCCTGCTTGGTCGCCAGCATTCGGAAAGGAAGCCTCGAACGCTGCCGTTGGCCCAGGTGCCAGCCCTGCGCAGGGCCTCGGATGCGGGCGTGGATCTGCTCCACGACGATTGGTATGGCCTGGCACCGTTGGCCAGTCCCGAGACCCTCTCGGAGATATCCAGCGTCTCGTCTCGCACCAGTGTGCCCATCAGCCTGGCCAACAGCATCGAGCGGTATCTTCAGCACATGGGTGTCAGCGCCGTCAGCGCTCCAAAGGTACCGCTCGAGGACATATTCGAGTCGCAGATGCACACCCCGAAGGTGATGCGCCGTGCGCCCAAATTCACCGAGAACCTGGCGGGCTGTGCCGAGGATACCCGCAATCTGGACCAGTACAAGCGTATGGGCCGCGTCTTTGTCACATTCCCACGCATCTTTCCCGACCAGCAGCCGCACAGCCTGGACTCCAGCGACGACAGCTTCGAGTCCGCCTCGGCCCACAGCCTGCAACGGCTACAGCTGCCTCCATCCGCGACTGTAAAGTGTGGGGCCAGCTCCAAGTCCGCCGATCAGCTGGACGGCGATCAGGAGTCGGCGCGACAGGCACCGGCAGCCAAGAAGCTCACATTCAGTGACAGCGACATCCTGGCCGAGGAGCACTGTCTGCGCCTGTGTCCGCACTGTCCCTGTGGCCGCGACGCGCAGCGCGGCTGCTGCACCAGATCCGATCACAGCCAGTGCTCCGAAGGAGGGACAAGCGGCACACTCGGACTGGGCTCCACGGACACGAGCTACTACAGCGCCAACTCTTCGCTGGAGCAGTTTGTTACGCCCGGCAGGCACCAGCAGCAGCAGTACCAGCACCAGCAACAACAGCTGAACGGCGTACTGCATCTGGATGAGATTCTCATGCGTCCCGGCGTGCTAGAGTCTCATTTTCCGGTCATCGGCGGCAGTGGTGGCTGCATAGAGACCCCGGCTATTGTGGCACCCGCCTCACCTTCGCCGCTTAGCAATGGCAAGCGGCCGGACGTGGTCGGCGGAAGAGTTCGCAAGCGTCTGTCCTCGGAGGAGTTTGTTTTCACGCGCAGCGAGGATTTACCCACTCTAGTACAAATCGGTGATAGGAGCAATCATAGCTCTCCATCGGGACGCAAACGCAAGGGCTGCGTGTATCCGGCCGGCACCAGCATACGGATCGATGCCCTTGGCGCGGCTGCGTCCTCATCCCCAACGTCCATTAGTAAATTTTCCCGCACTCGCGTGGCCATTGGAGCCGGAGCAGGTGGTGTGGCCAAGAAAGCTGCCACAAATAACGAAAGTAATGTTTAATAGTTGTAAGAATGCAGTACCTTATCCAGCCGATGCAGACAGATAACCGACAAACCAATCAATATTCCATTGCAATTGCTTTACGAACAACAAACCAATGCGATTAAACAAACAAACAAAAAACAACCTAACAATTTTTGCATACCAAATACCTAAGAAGTTTAGCGTTAACACTGGCGTTTAATAGTGAATAAATGCAATATACATATACATATATAAATATATTTTTTTGTGCAGCCAACTGGCTAAATTGAGAAAAACCCTAAGCGATGACAAATTTTAATAAAACGTTTTAAAAAAATTAAAAAACCCGAGTCAAATTGTTCTTAATGGGAATTAAGTCAGAACTAACGATATTTAGCGGCGTAAGAAATGAAGTTGGCTGCAAACACACCGACGTGAAGTTGGTCGCGACACGAGGCCACAGCCAAGGGCTACAACTTAACCTCTAATCTATTTATTTACAAATATTTGTATAGGGTCATTTCGATCGGCTCAGGGCTATATATTATAGGAATTTACTAAATTTTAGTGTTTTGCTGAATATCGACACAATCGCTCCTTCCAGTATTCGTCTCTGGTGGGCTTCACCTCCCTCGTCGTCTTCACGAATCCGTAGCCCTCTTCGCCATACCCTGAGACCCGCGATTCGCTCCGATTCTAGCGACAGGAGATTTACCCTGCTGGGATCGAATAGATGGGATCGGTGGGGCTCGCAGTGTCCGCGTCGTCTTCCTCACCCCTGATCACCTCTCTCGAAGGTCCCGGCTCTGGCGGTGACTCCAGTCTCTGCAGATAACAAATATTCTGTAGGTGACCCTGGACAGACTGAGAGCTATACCCCAGCCAAAGATTACTATCTTACAATAAGTAGAACCATATGAAACGTTGCGTTGACAAAAAAGATACAAGAAGGCGGGTAAAAATTTCTTTGAAGCAGCTGCAATCTCGTATCCTGTAACATAGTACGCCAGCAGGAACTGTGAAAAAGTTGATGAATCTGTGTATGGCCTTCCCTGCTTCAAGGGAACACGCAACGTTTTCATCTCCGTTGGCTTAAAGTTTTGTTTCCCGGAGGGTAGAAGGGGGAGTCCCAAGCTGAGTCGAGGACTCAAACCAGTTAAAGTTGAATATCCGAGCACTCGCGTATAATGTGTTGAATAAGTTGTCTCTCCGCCGTGCCGCACGTGGCGTATACTTCATATTTCCCTACTGAATCACAGTCGCTGTCTGACAGTGTCTATGCGGATGAATGTTGACCTTGCGTTGTCTGGCCCGCGAAGGTTGCTAGAGGTTTTTGGCTCTTGCAACGAAACGAAACAATTGAATTGTGAATGTTGCGGCTCATTTGAATGCAACTGCCAAATGCATTTGGATTCACCCATCTCTACCTCTCCTAACATGAGCAAAACCCCTCGTAGAAGCCCGCTTCTCAGGCATAGGGCATGGGACCTCCTGGAGCTGTCTCTGCAATCTGCACCTGCGGCTTATTCGATCTTCAGCAGGCATTGAATGCTATCTAAAAACCGTAGTTGACCATCTCATTGGGTGGTTCCATGGTGCATCCCTCCACTATAGATAGATCCAGGGGCCAGGGTACAAAATTCCACCATTAAAATTCCAGGGGCATTCCGATTCTCTCATGGGGATGGGGTTTGGTTATGCACTCCGTCATTTTTGGGCATTGATAAGGGATGTCTTTCCTTTCCGGAAGTTGTAAAAACAGAGAGAGAGCCTTGAATGTCACTTAAATATAGCCGTGAAAAATCAACAGTTTATAATGTAATCCATAAATCGTCACAAAAGGACCATATCCATAAGTGATGAAGAATTCTATATGCCAGAGATTCTTTGTTTTCGGGCATTTTTCAGCTTTTTGTGTGTGTGTTTTGTGTTATCATAATGCATATTCGGATGGAAGCCAATTTAATTAAGTTTACCTTTCATTTTGCTGTGTGCCTTCCTACAGTTTCTTACACTTCTTTGAGACAATGTCATTCAACTCTGGTCGTGTTGTGAGGTGGCTTCAGGAGCGTGAACCTGGCGCTGCCTTGCCCTGTCCAATGAGTGCCATGCCATGCCTTGCCTTGCCTTTCTGCCCAAACCCCGACAAGGCTTCGTTCCTTGCGCCCCACCCTCAACTGTTCCCAGTTGCGTAGTAATTTGCGATTCATTCATAAATTGCTGCCTCCTCCCCGTGGGGAACGACTCAACAAACTGGGGAAATTATCCGCGTCGGCGCAGCTCCAGTGACCAGGTGTTCCTAGTTACTAGCTCTTCTCAGTCCTCGCTGTGCACAGTTACCAGATGTTTCCATTCCCCTTTTGTTCCCAGCTATTACCAGTGCCCAGTCCTCGCTGTTCCCAGTTCTGAGTATTCCTATTCCCAGTTTCTGATGTTCCCAGCTATTAGCTATTCCTAGTCCCCACTGTTCCCAGTTAGTTTATGTTCCCAGTCTGTTACAGTCTCTTCCCAGTTATCACCTGTTCCCAGCCTCCGCTGTTCCGGGTCCCAGCTGTTCTCAGTTAGCAGATGCTCCCGGTTTACAGCTAGCCGGTGTTCCCAGTTCATACTGTTTCCAGCTAGCAGGCGTTCCCAGTCCATACTGGTCCCAGCTAGCAGGTGTTCCCTGTCTCTACTGTTTCCATCTAGCAGGTGCTCCCAGTCTCCGCTCTGAGAACGACAAAATACTGTGAATGAGACCCAGATAGGGGAAATACTGGTGGTCGACGAGCAGCCAACGAAAGTTAAGAGAGAGCCAGCTTTCTCTTAAATTCGCCCTGGGAACAATTGCGTTGAGTAGCAAAGGACGAGGTGCTTTTCTTCCTTCAAGAAGGAGACGGAATCCTCCGCATCCTCGGGCATAGATTGTGCGTGTGTGCTCATTAAGCATTTGCATACATTTCAACGTCGAGCGCTAACAATTGTGTAAATAAAACACATGTAGGTACATATTTTTATGATAATTTAACAAAGAAATTTGGCACAATTTGTGCAGAGCGAACGTGTGAAGCATCTTAATCTGATCTGAAGAATATGGAAAACTGTTATTAATCGTCACATACTATTTGAATCTGCAGCGCCCCTAAGTCACGTTCATTCGACAGCCCCGATTATGGGTATTCTTCAATTGACATTAATTCTTCATTACCACAAACCACTCCAAATACCCGAGATTCCAAGCAGCTAAAATTCGGTCTGTTGTACCGCCGTTTTGCCCACTAACTAACCCCCAAATGAAGCCTTAACTAACTTAACAGAGAGTCACCTACTTTACTGGAAGAATTAGAATGTAACTTCAGCCTGAACTAAACCGAACTGAACTTACCAGCGGCTACCAAACATTCCTATCAATCAAAAAACATATTGGCTAAGGCTCTGCGCTGTCCAGTGCATCCCACTCCCAGCTCAGAGCTGGCAGCCACCCACCCACTGCAACCTTGGAGGATAAGTTGTTGACATTCTCCGCACATCCGCACATCCGCAGCTCCAGCTCCAATCTGGGCATCGACTGCAGCTCCTCTGGCGTCGTGACTGGACGATGACTGGACTCTGATTCGTTGCTACTTATCTACTCATTGTATGTGCACGCTTCGCTTGATGTTGAGGCACTAAGCTGTCAATGTCGCGTTTACGGAGGCACGGCCATAGGAAGCGACAGAGGGATAGAAGGCGAGAGCGGGTGTCACACATAGAGTGGGTGTCCTTGCTTTGTGTGGTCTTGGAGTAGCCACATTAGAGGCACGTTTGGAGCCAATTGCCGCATAAAACGAAGAAAATCACTGAAAACAACTGACAGCGAAAGTGAGAGTAAAAGGGAAGACTGAACTGAAAGGCAGGCAACATCAAATAAGGATGATTTAGTCAAGTAATCCGACTATACGATACCCCGAACTCAGCAAACAATCGAATGTTTAACTTAATGTTTAGTTTTGTAGATCGGCGAAGCAGATGTGCACACTATGGATCTAGTTATCATAAAGAGCAGACAGATAGGATAGCTCAAAGGTGGGATAGGTGTTCACGCATACATTCAAATGTGCTAGAACTTCAATAATTCATTCATTTGTTTGCTTTCTACCGACCAAGCGGAACTATTCCTTGTGCAGAAAAGTATATCCTTTAGTTCGCAAATTTCTGATCAGAAAAAGCACTGCAGTATAAATGGAAGGTATGTAAGCAGCAGATGGGCCATGGGATGGGAATGGAAAGTAGGCGAAATTTAGAAGGGAAGCCGCTTAGTCGCTTGAGTCTCCCAGAGATGTTCGGGAATTACCTGCGAAAGTGACATATAGATTTCATAAAAATTATTATAAAATTCGATGCATTCTTTGGAGTGTCGCTCGCTTCTTTAGCCACCCTTCGATGCGCGCTTATCAGGCTTATAAAAGCTTTTACCTTTCAATTTCCGCTCCACGGAAGAAAGCCTTTCCATCCATTAGCCTGTGGCCAACGAGGCAAGAGCACACTGTGACATGCCGCAAAAATAGGCGCAACATTTGTTACAGTACTCAAATAGTTAAGAGCTTATCGAAGACCCATTTTTAGTACTTCTGATATCCAAGGACGATTCAGGATACTGGTATTCAACTATTTGTGCCTTCATAGAAGTTTTCGGTGGTATGTCCAATTGCTTACCAAAAAATGATTGAACACACAAGAACAAGGAATTCCCCAACCGAATAGTTCGTTCAACTGGCAATCGCTGGACGTGGCCATGTCCTGGGGAGCATAAACCAAATGAGCAAAGCTTTTAGCTGTTAGCTGTTAGCTGTTAACTGGTCCCGTTGCGGCAGCCGATACCACAGGGTCACCACCAATACCACCAGCAGTGGGTCAACTCAAAGTGAATGCCTCTCTTTTTTGGCGGCTGACAAGGGGTGGGAGAGGGGGAGGGGTCACCCGCCGCCATTGGCAATTATTTTGAAACAAATTGTCAATAAATGAAACAGAACTTTTAGATTGCTTTCGGCTTTGTTCTTGCTCTCCGCTCGGCATACATATAGATTTGTCTTTAGTTTAAGCCGTCGTCTTTGGGGCGCCATCTCATTTACATAGACAAAAGCCTCCGATGGATCTCAGACTTCGCTGAGGGACTCCCTCTCCCTCTCCGCTAGGGTCCTCTCAGGTTAAGGTCCAGCCCGTAACAGCTGCGTCATCGCGTTAATGGCTCACTGCTGCCGCTGCCGCTGCCACAGCCGCTGCGGCAGTCCTTGTTGTCCCTGCTCCTGGCTACACTCTGGGGCGTATGATTA